AAAAACCCCACACCTGAACCCTGGTGTGCAACATATCCTATTTATAAGCATGGACACCAGAAGCACAACACTCACAAAAATATATATGTCAAATTTTCAGTGCCAAACCCCAAACCGAGATGTACCAACCCCCGAATCCTGAATCCCGAGACTGCTGGGTCTCGGGTTTCGGGGTTTGGGGGTCCCGGAACTTGGAACTTGGGGAACTTTGGGGAGATCAATAAAATTTGATTTACAATTGAGTTGATTGACAAACACATTGACTTACCCATGTTTGAAATATATTTTGTTTACACATACTGAGTTCCGAGTTCCGGACCCCGAAACCCGAGACCCGGCAGTCTTGGGTTTCGGGGGTCCGGAACTCGGAACTTGTGGAAATTTGGGGAGATCAATAAAATTTGATTTACAATAGAGTTGATTGACAAACACATTGACTTACCCATGTTTGAAATATATTTTGTTCTACATACCGAGTTCCGAGTTCCGGACCCCCAAACTCCAAGACTGCCGGGTCTTGGAGTTTGGGGGTCCGGAACTCGGAACTCGGTATGTAGAACAAAATATATTTCAAACATGGGTAAGTCAATGTGTTTGTCAATCAACTCTATTGTAAATCAAATTTTATTGATCTCCCCAAATTTCCACAAGTTCCGAGTTCCGGACCCCCGAAACCCAAGACTGCCGGGTCTCGGGTTTCGGGGTCCGGAACTCGGAACTCAGTATGTGTAAACAAAATATATTTCAAACATGGGTAAGTCAATGTGTTTGTCAATCAACTCAATTGTAAATCAAATTTTATTGATCTCTCCAAATTTCCCGAGTTCTGAGTTCGGGGGTTGATACATCTCGGTTTGGGGATTGGGGGTTAGTAAAATGTTTACAGATATATGTAGGTTGATTTAAACATTGTCTGAGAGATGTCGTTCGTCTCAAATGTCAAATCCTGAGTTCCGAATTTTGGGACTCGGCACCCAGCACCTGGGACTCGGGGTTTGGCACTGAGAATTTGACATTCGGGTGTTCGGGTTTCAGGTGATATCTACCTCAATCTACAGTTTCGAGTTCTGGATATCGGGACTGATCATTCAATTATTCAATTGTGGCATAGGTAACATGCATTGAAAAAGATTTATGCACATCTATCACTGAGCAATTATGTAGCCATTTCAACCTCCTCATCAGGAAGATCAACCTTTCCCTCAACATCCATCTCCTCATCAGAAGAAGCATATTCTGGCAGGAGGTTACCTGGTTCATTAGGGACCACAATATCGCCGGAGGATTCTGGCAAGAGGTTGCCTGGTTCATCTGGGAGCACAATTTCACCGGAGGATTGTGGACCCTCAGGCTGAACTTGGGTGGGCTCAACCATGGGACCTACCATAGCAGATCCATGCTCAGGCATCAAGGGTGTGGGTTCCATCACTGAAATGTCCAAATCAATGAGGTTGGAAAGTGCAGAGGGGAGGGGTGACATGGACGGGAGGGACCTCCTTGATCAAGCAACATTGATGCATCGGCCGGTGTGTCCGGAAGTGAAAATGAAGGGTGCTGGTCGATCACTGTGCGCCGGAGGCTCTCATGGAGGCATTGCAGGGTATCAATCTTAGTGTCCTGCTCCTGCACCCGAGCCTCAAGAATCGTGATGTAAGCTGCACCATCCCGAATTGTGATTGCCATGGAATGGAGATATGGCATGGGAACATCGAGTGCTGCACGAGGCACTGCAATGCTGGAAGACCTGACTGCTAAGTAAAAAATTAGGTCAGCCAGTCATCAAGGGTTTGGGTGACTTACCAGCTGGCGCAGGTGCAGGTGCAGGTGCAGGTGCAGGTGCAGGTGTCTTCTTGATGGTGATGGTCTTGCTGCGACCATGTGACTGCACCTGGGGTGTAGTTGCAGCAGGGATGGCCAGAGGTTGATTGTTTTCGGGACGGGCCACGAGATTGACTACGAGTTCGGGCCCTTGACCGGGAGGGAGGCAGAGCATTGGATGGAGCAGGGGCAGGTGTCTTGGAACACGTCCGGCTGGTGGTAGACTTCCCTCAGATCCGTTTGGGTGGGGATCCCAGAGATGCAGAGTTGCATTTTATCTTCTTGGTGGAGCAGCGGATGCAAGACAAGCAGGGGAGACTGGTTCTCTTGTCCAAATGAGTCGCACAGGGCCAATTCTCCTTGACACAATAATGGCAGGGGTTGTTCTGTGGTATCCATTAGTAGATGGACGAAGGGGAATTAATTGGAGTACTCACTGGGCCAGGAATGGTGATATCAAATGTGGTATTGGCCGGCGGGTCACCATCCGAAGCACTGGAAGTATCTTCAGAGGGCTCCTCAACTTCCGGACAACTGCCGGAGGTTGCCTGACAGATTGTTAATACACATATGAGTTTCTGGAGAACTTCTAAGACTTACCCGAGCCTCCAGACGACTGCCCCGAGCCTCCAGACGACTGATGCGAGCCTCCGGACGACTGATGGGAGATTTCTAATGTAATAGGAATGAGTGACAATTATACATGGGAGGTCCGGACAAGTCCAAATGACTCACCGTGACCTCCGGACGACTGCCGGCAGTCAGCTGTGGACACATGAGCATATATTTAAGGTCCAAACGGATAAATCAGACTTACCGAAGCAGGCCCAAATGATTGCTTCTTGGGGGAACCGGGTGGCCAAGGCGACTGGGGCTTCCTTACAACAATGGTGGAGCGCTGGGGAAGGACGACCTCCGGCACTCCATGCGAAATCGGCTGCAACAAATTGAGAGCATGTCCCAAATACGCCAGAACACATACCTGAACAATTGGGTCTTCATCATCTTCCGACTCCACAAACAGCTTCGACTTCGGGAGTTGAGTTGACTTGACATGCTTGCGTGCCTTCATCACCGACTTTGGAGGTTGGGAGGAATGTCCAGAAATCATCGGAGACTTCCTTTTGTTGCTCCCCCCAACTTCCAGCTCCAGGTCAACAGAGGTGGCCTTACCTTTTCCTTTGTCCCGGACCTCAGGGGTCGTCTTGCCAGAAGGTCCGGCGACGACTGGAGGTGAGGGAATGATGGGGGTGGGGGAAGGGACAGGTGCAGGTGAAGGGACAGGTGGAGATGGAAGGTTGACAGCCAGTGGGCCAGTGGAAACGTTAGGGACAACAGGGAGATCACAGGAATTGTCACCCAACGCCTCCCAGGCATGGACTTGCTTGCGCCAGGCATGTATAGCCACCCAGGGGTCATCATGGCCAATGCTGTGCCAGTTGGGTAATGCCCGGGGAGTTATGGAACGCACCCTCATCAGCTCCTTGGAGCAGGACACCACAATTCCAGTGATGTATTTCCCTTTCTCATAGGCCTGGATGATGTCAGCCTACCCGGACATTAGAAACATTAATGTTACACTAATTTAATGAGTTCAACATACCAAAAGAGTGGTGACCTGCTTTGTCAGAGCAAGGTGGACGTCCACTGAGCTGGCTGGGACGTGCCGGGCGCCAGCAATGATACCCACAAGTTGAGCAGTGGATGCCTTGAGGTTGGCCAAGGAAGATTGAACTTGAGTAGACATTTGGATGGAGTTGACAGATGTGAGAATGTTAAAAGCAGGGTGAAATCTGTTATCACTAGAATGAAGTTTCAAAGAAACAATACAATTGAAGGACAATGTTGAAAATCATTCATTGTTTGTGTTTGTTTGGTCATGGTTCAACTTTCGGCAATTGCTGGCCATCTGTTGAACTTCAACGTTATCAGTTATCAATCAGTTCATCAGTTCATCAGCTCATCAGATATCATGAGTTCTCAACCTGGGGTCAAATTTCATGACCCTCCAGTCACTGAATTCACTTCAATGGATGTGGATGAGTCCTCCCAGTCCCAGATGTCCCTTGGTATGTTTTGTTCTTTCTGATTTCAGTCAATTGATCTAACATGGTTTAGATCTATTAGATGATATATACCTTGGGCCAGATGATGAGTTAGACTCTGATTCCGGGTCGTCCGGTGGTTTGGATGTGTTGAATGTGATTCCCGGTATGTTTTCCAATTCAAATGTACATATTCCACATGTGCAAATTCATCACATACTTCCAGATCCATCATCTCCGGCTCTGGCAGATGGACTGGCCCTTTATGATGACCTGGACTTGTATCTTGGTCTGGAGGATACCTTGATTTCGTCTGATGATGCTCTGGTTGTACCCAATTTTCCTATGGCTGGTGGGGTCATTCTTTCTATTTCATGTTCACCTTTCATGGCATTTCCCCAGTGAATGAATCAACTCCGGAGCCTCATCCGGCCACTTCGGTTGTACCAGAGGCACCCATACCTTGTAGGTATAGTCATATCATTTTATGTTCTTTACTCATGTTATCTCCCAAGCTATTTCAGAAACTGCCGAACATCAATCGCCCGAGCTGGAACTCAACAATGAAGCACTGCGTGCTATGGTTCAGGAGTTCATGCCAATCGGATCTTATGATCAAGCTGAAAGTAAGTATGCAACATTTGATTATTTATCTCTGCTAATATCCTGCAAGTTCAATCAATTGTAGATCGCCTGGGTGATTACCAACAGCGTCATGAAGATCTTCCTGCCCCTACAGTAGCACAAATTCTTGAGGCTGACAGACCATTCAGGATGGCATGGGCTGAAACATGTGACAAGCTGCGGAAAGCAGATGCTGACCTCTGGAGGATGCAAAGGGTAAGGGAGTCAACCTCCGAAATGCTGAAGGTATTAGAAACCCTCATTGAGGCCTTTGAGGACTCAAGTAACATGTAAATATTGATCAATGTCTGATAGTAGACACATTTCAGTATACTTTACCTGCTAAGTACTTAATACTTGGTACTTGTATACTGTACCTACTCAGAGCTAGTTCAGAAACCCATGTGAAGTCAGGTTGAATCAATTTGCATTCGGCAAGCATGGTCGGCACGGCACACCCCGAACGGCTGACTTTCAACCTTGCTTGCATCCTACTACTACCAGTGTACCACCATGGAATCTTGTTATCGCATCGATAATCTCAAGGGTGTCCATCTCACCCGTCATAAACATATCTTGACAAGTGTTGTATCTCTAACAGCTCTTGCTGCACATTACACTACTGTTCTCATGGCTCAAGAGAAAGAGAAGGCATTTTGGACCGAATCAGAAGTAACTGCGCTGGTCGACTACCTTCATGAACATCGGTCAGAGTGTGCCAAAGGAGGCAACTTCAAGATGGTAACATTCAATGGAGCAGCGAGGGATATCGCACCCAAGAAGACACAGGGCCCACAAAAGACTGGCAAAATGTGCCAGACAAAGTGGACATCAGTGAGTTGCTGATTTCAATCTATGTTATCAGTTTATCGATCTCAGCTAACATGTGTTTAGTTGAAACAGATCTACAACACTATCGATAAGTATTGCAAGCAGTCTGGAATCAATCAGTGGCACCCTGAGTACGGTGCAAACATCCAGGGGGAACCAGCAGCAGCAGTGTTTGATGCATATGTCCAGCAAAAGGTATGTCATTATACTCTCATGTCATGTTGTTTTACTAATACTACATTTCTTTCAGTCCAATTCTGCAATGCGCCCTTTCCGAAACTCCGGATGGGTCTATCTTGAGCGGATGCAGGAGATTTTACCTGTGGGTGGTGCACGAGGGGCAGCGGCTTTCCGAGCCACCGATGTTCCCGCGCCCTCCATTGACGATGAGCCTGGGGTGGATGCCCCAGGAGCTCAGGCTCCTGGATCTGCTAGCTCCATGAGTGCCATCACTGGCATGAGTGGCGGATCTACTAGCTCCACAAGTGCCGCTGCTGGCACAAGTGGTGACGTCATTATGTCCGGGACCAATACCATCGCTTCTCCTCCTCCCCCGTCTAGTGCTGCCACTCGACCAACTATCTCTACAACCTCCAGTACCGGAAAGCGCTCACACGATGCCACATCCATGTTCCATGATGATGTGGCCACATTCACATCCACAGTACCTTCATCGACATCTGAACTGCCACAACAATCTGAGGCTCGAGCGTCAAAGAAACAGAAGTCGCGTGCAACCCAGTCACGCGCTGACAGTGGCCAATCTGCAATGATGACCAGCGCTGCAAGAGCAGCCAAGATCATGCCAGCTGCAGCTGTTGTGGGCATGCAAGGGTCCATCAATTGTCTCACCGATGTGATCGAGAAGGGTATGATTACTGATGCGGAAAGGCTGGAGAAGCAGAGACACGCTGCCTTACATATCTTGAACGGGGAAGACGCAGACTACTATCCGTTGCAGGAGAGGGTCATTGTCATGCACATGTTTGCAGATGACCCGGCTGTCACCGACGTATACCTTCAAAATGATGACAAAGACATGTGGTACGCATTCATCCAGCACATGATCCAGTATCGATTTCAGAAGGTCCCTCAAGCACCACAAGTGCCATACGTCCGTCCGCAGTTGTAACTGTGCCGCCAGTGCCATGTAGTTTACCTGCCATTTGTTCAATCTCGCATGCACTCATTTGTTTTTTTCATACTCAATCACTAGCTGCACTAGCTGTTTCCATACCAAGTACTTGTTGTTTCCGTACCGAATTACATGTGTTTCTATGCTACGCTTTCCAATTCGCTCTCGTCCAACGCGTCTGATACCTCCGAGTCTGAACCTGAGTCCAACAAAGCCCTCTCATGTATGACATCCTGATACTGATCCCACATTGCTTGCGCAATGCATTCACGCATTGCGCGACCACTCACCACATGACCACTATCGTCGTTCATTTCTTCATTGTCGTCGTCGTCATCAGCTTGTCCCTGAAAATCAGGGTTCTCAGACGCATATGATTCGCCGCATGACTCTTCATCCTCACTGGGATCATGTAGGCGTAGGAAGTTGTGGATTGCGCACAATGCAGCAGGAATTTGTGCTTGAGTGTCGAGGGGGTACTCTGGTGCCAAAAGGAGAATGCGAAAGCGGTGTTTTAGGACACCAAAGATGTGCTCTATCACGTTTCGTGCAGACGCGTGGCGTAGGTTGAAGAGCTCCTCTTTATTGACGGGCCTGCCATCAAAATATAAGTTAGAGAAACGAAGAAGTTAGAAAAACATACCTGATATTTGCACGGCCCCACTCCGCGAGGTGGTAACGGACACACGGTATGGCACAAGAAGTTCAGGGCAAAGCGGGAATCCTGCATCCGCTAGGTAGTACTTCTGTCGTGGAATGTGGAAGTTATGCGCATGCACATCCTCATAAATCCGAGAATCGTTAGCTGAACCCTCCCACCCGGTCAAAGAGTAGACAAAATTGAGGTTGAAGTCACAAGCAAATAAACAGTTCTGCGAAACGAAACCTTTGTGATTACGGTATACAGTGCATTCGAAGGCAGGGGGCGACGCATGAATATGACTTCCGTCGAGTGCGCCAACAGCATCACAGAAAAATGGCCAAAATTTGGGGTTGTTTTTTATTTTTTTGAGACCGAAGTGCCGTCTGGTAAGTGGACGTAGGTAGTGTAGAACGGGGGGGACGAGAATATGTGTAGAATCCTTTTAAAATAACTAGGAAATATTAAATGTATTGTATAGATCAAAAAATAATAGCGCTCACCGTGAAATCATATCATTCAATCTCTGAAACCACTCTCCAACATGCCAGGTAGTCAGACCCGTAATGCTAGTATACAGGAATATAGCGACTTGTTCTTCCAACGAGACGAACTTGGAGTCAACATAACCGAAGTTACGGAGCTCAGAGATGAGCGCTTCAAAAGCATGTGCATGCATACCCAGTTCGCATCAAATGCGTTCCGGATGTCCAGTAAGAAGCTCCATAAGCCAGCCTTCACCAGAGAGAATGGATGTGTGGTACGGTTCCAGGTCTTTGGAGTAGGTAGATTGTAGTAGGGATCCTGTAGCACATATCAGGATGCTGATGAGGATTTTAGCATAGTGAAGGAGGTGTTGTTGGATCTCTGGACATGTCATTGTAGTGAGAACAGTAGTTACAGTAATGCGCAGCAAGAGCTGGTAGAGATACAACACTTGTCAAGGTCCTTAAGATTATCGATGCGATAACAGTAGTAGTAAGATGCAAGCAAGGTTGAAAGTCAGCTGTTCGGGGTGGCGTGCCGACCATGCTTGCCGACTGCAAATTGATTCCACCTGACTTCACATGGGTTTCCGAACTAGCTCTCAGTATGTCGGAAATTTCCAAAGGTGCCTTGCAAGGGACCCCTCTTGAGGCCAATTGAGGGGTTGCAAGGTCACCCGAAATTTTTCCAAGTCAATTGGAAGGGACTTGCAATTGTGTCACAAGCGGCTTACAAGGGGCTGTAAATGTAACTTTTGCAAAAATATGTCCCAATCTGTCCCTAAATGAGGTTGCAATCAGCCTGCAAGTGTCAATTGAGCCTCGCTTGCAAGATTTTCGGGTCCGCTTCCAAGCGCTTCAAATGGGCTCGATCAATGGAGGGCTTGCAATGCCTTATAAGGTATGCCAAGCAAAAATAACTTTTTCCGACATAGGTAGTCCTTGGTACTTGTATACTCTACCTACCCATTACTCGCTGCCCGGCTTTCTGTTCTCAGTACTCGGTGCTCGGGGCTCGGTACTCAGGCCTTGGTACTCGGTACTCAGTGCCCGGCATTCGGGGTTTGGTACTCGGGGTTTGGTACTCAGGCCTTGGTACTCAAGATTTGGGATTTGGGATTTACAATTAGGTTGTTAGTACTTTGACATATACATAATAGCACATATGACATTACACATGACGGCAGGAACATATATGTACATTAAGTGCGTCCCCGTGCTCTGGTTACTCTAGGTGTACTGTCTACTGGCATTTGCAACTTACTCCGGGTCGTCCTCATGGATGGTTCAACAGTGACTCAAGTGCCCGCCTCCTTTTCTGTGCTGGCGGCGTGATACTCTCTTCCATTTCAACATCATCCCTAACCTTGCCCGTCGCGTCGTCAGTTAACCCAGCAAGGAGGTCTCCCATTCGTGATGTCAGTAATGCACCTTTTGTGGCCAGCTTGGCCGGGCGAGGCTTTGGAATTGGACGTGGGACTGCCAGCCCTCTGGGTGTAGGACCTCCCGTCCTGGGCTTCTTCAGCGGAGGTCTCCCGTCAGCCAGGTCATCATCCACATTATGCTCCGTATGATGAGTGGCACTCTCCTTATCACTCTTGGCTTCTGTCGATGACTCCCGAGGCCTTCGGATGGTAACCGTCTGTTGCCTTCTCACTATACAAGTCTGAGGAGAGGGCGAGTTGCCAGATATGACAGATGGTACCATGTCCCCATCTTTGTTCTTCCATGCTTTGAACAGAAATGTGGGCCCTTCGCCTGTTTCCTGCCGAGCGAGCCAGAACTGGAGCAAGGTAGTGGTGTCCCAAATTTGCAGCTTCAAAGGTTCCTTCAAGTCAACATCCGCCGGAAGATATGTCCGGGCCACGAAGTCATCCTGACTTTGTACAATGGCACTCCATGGCACAACCGCCTTGTCCTTCCCGGAGCATATCCCTTTGTCCATGCATTGAACAATTTGTCAGGTAATGCGACGACAAACTCACAATAGTGCAATGTAAGAAAGGCCCTCACCATGGCCTTCTTCTCCTCAAGTTTGGTGTTGATGATGTCTGGAAGGAGTGGCATACCCTCCCCATCCATTTCGAGTTCGAAGGCTGGTTTTCGAATTCGTTTTCGACCTCCCTTGACTTGACGTCCTCCATCCCGTGCCCCGGCGCCTATCATTGTGATGCTCAACATGTTCAATCTGGTATACATGGTTCACACACTCACCGAACTGTTCCTGCGCGTACTCCTGCCACACTGGCTCAATGTCCTCCCAGTCCTTTGTCTTCATGAAGCTGCCCCCATCTCCTAAGGCCTCATTATCATCATGCCTGCATGAATATTTTGAGATGAAAAATCTCCATCAATGGATAAATGTACTCACATCCTGAACAGCACCTCACCCTTTTCATTCTTCCAAGCCGACATCACAAACACTCTCATCCCACATTGCCTCCACATCTCGTTCGAAAAGTGCTCCATATATGCCGGACCCTTCTTATGAGCGACTTGTGCTTGTATCTCCAGAGGTGGACAGTTGTTGGACCACTCTTCGGCTGTTTCTTTAGCCTTCTCCAACTCGTCGTCATCCAATTCAGCCATGACTCTCTTCACCGCCGCCTGATAATGTTTGAACATACCAGGATCTCCTGGCTTTACCCCAGACTCGTCCTCAATCCTCTTCAGCACCTCTTCGCGTTTCTGCTGGTAGACCACCATCCTGGGAGTCCATTTCCTCCCATACTTGATCATGTCCTTCCTTTCCTTCTTTTTCTTGTTGTTGAACAACCAAGTCTTGTACACCTAAGAGTTGATGAAAGAATGTGACATTAAAAATTTAGTTTTTCAACACAACAAAGAAGCCTCACCTGCTTCCTCTTTTTCCATTGTTTTTGGTCCAACTTAGGAGCAAACAACCTGGCCACCCTTGCTATGGCAGTGAAAAACGCTCGCTTCTCACTCCTTTTGGCAGCAGTCCACCCAGGAAGGTAGTTCTTCAACTCCAAAATCTCCTTGTCCATGAGCTTCTGAGACTGTGGTTGATGCATCCTGTGTCTTCCGGAAGTCGTGTTGGTGGAATGACCTGTTCTTGCCATAGTGAATCAGAATGCAGAAATGGCTAAGGATTTGCAAGGTGGAAGTATTAATGAATTGTGCGAAGTTGAACTTTGAGCAAAGCCTAATGATAGGTTAATCGGCCCATATTGGACCCTGAGCCATTAATGGAAATGAATTTGTAATGAGCCAACAGGACTGCACCACATCATATTGCAATAACAATTCATTACACCTGAGCTGATGCCTTGCTTGCAACATTAATAAACAAGATGAAGATAGGTAGATGCACCCCAGTGCAAAAATCTCACAGGGTGGAAGCAAGGGGCAGCAAAGGTAGGAAGACTTGGGTCAAGGTCCCACTTGCAAGCACGAGGCGACATGCCTACAGGTCCATGCCTAACTCTCCCCCAGAATCACCAACAATTCAGCCTGTTGAGGCACCACCTCCTTGGGAAGACTTTCCTGACAATACTTACGAGCAGGACCAAGGCTCATTTGAGCCTTTGCAACTCCCAAAAACCATGGCAAGTTCATGAACAATGTTGGAGTGTCATTAAAACTATCGCTAAGCATTCAAAAATACAGAGTCAAAATGACTACCTCAGGCAATGGCTGCCAAGGCAGGAATCATATCTGCTATTTGTGTCCAGACCTGAGTTCCAGCTGAAGGAAAACACCATGGTTATTGTTGACAAGTCCGGAGTTCATCACCTGGAGGTTTGATGCTGTGATTCTTGACAGTGGAGGCAGTTGAAGACAATGAAATGGCATGGCTTCGGCCATCGTTCTGATAACCCAAGCACAGGAGAACTTGCATTATTTTGCCCGGCATGTCCTCAGCCTGGGATTAATGTGCTGTTGTCAGAGGATGAATCTCTTGATGAGTGAGTCCTATTCTGAACCGCTGTGGCCTCCATAATAATACTAGTGATCCAAGCTGGAAATACACCTGGTCATTTGTGATGGACGGAAATTTCAAAGCCGAACATCTGCATCCCATTAAGCCATTCAATGAAGTTTGGCTGTCCGATGGGCTTGGATTCATGGTAGGAAAGGACAGGTATAAAATGCATCTGGCAGAGGCTGCTGACACAGTGGAAAAATCAAGCTGCAACAATCACCGGGCAGTCAATCAAGCTAATGCTGCTCGGCACAAGCTGGAGTCCACCAGTATCGGGGGAGTTGCCTGTGCCAGACACGGTTGCTTTGTCCCTCACTCCATGGTGGATTTTCAGAAAGGCGAAAGGCAAGCCACATCCACCATTCCCCATTCACGAGTTAACCATGGGTCACTTGCAGACAAATGAACATGGACTACGCCCTTTGTGAGGCTTCCCAGCACAACATGGAAGGCATCACCAGGGCTGTCACCTTTTATGATATTAATTGTCAATACAACAAACACTTTTGGGTTCGGGTGGATCGAAGTCGATTTCTAGAAATGGCACCACAACTAACCATCATTCCCGGAATTGGGTTATGGCACATTCATGGCCATCAGGACAGCTGCTATGTCCGATATGCTTCTAACGTTATTGGAGGCATTGGTCGGATTGATGGAGAGATCACGGAGACACTATGGGCACGGCTCAATCTGATCTCCCCTGCTGCTCGGGGAATGTCATCTCCCCACCAAAAGGAATGCCTTGATTATCAGATGAATGACTCCAATTTCTGCAAGATGATTCGCATGAAAAGGACTCTATGCCGGAAATACAAACTGGCTAGGAATGGTATCTTAGAAAGTGGAAAGGCATTCAACAGACTCGATGAAGCAGCACCCTCACATTTGAAGACAGAATGGTTAGCCAGGGAGAGGATAGCTCAGTCAAGCAGATTGAATGATCCTTCAGCCATGGATGAATATGAGATTAATATCAAAAAGGGTACGTTGAGTTCCATTGTCTCCATCAAGGTCTGAATTAATATTGCACTCAGCACCTAGCAAAAAGGAGATGGAGCTTAGATTGTTAGAGGAGGGTAACGCCCGCAATGCAGCACCCTCTCACAGATCTGTGGCGACATGGATATCAACAGGGTTAGCAATTGAAGAGGCTCAGATTGCATTGCTCATCGAGGTCCAAAGGATCGGAAGAAGATCCACCGAGACACAGAGATTAGACATCGCCCGTCAACGGGATTGGCTCCAAGGCCAGATAGATGGATTTGCTTGATCTGCTCTAACACATCTTGCGGAGGGATTTGATGCAGATGATGAACCTGAGGACTTGGACATAGACATTCTAGATGATCTCAATGATGACCCGGTGAATTTCACAGAGACATCTCATACATGGACAAACTCTCCTGAGCTTACTGTAATACCATTGCCATCGAACCTGGGGGTTGATAGATGCAGACGATGCATGGCAGAGGATCTGATTCCCCTGGAGATGTCGCTTCGTGAAGGGCAGGCCAATGATGCCCTTCACAATCTCCACATTTACCTTTGCAACAAGGCGATCCTGTTCCGAACAACCGTTAGGCAGGCCAAATCCCAGGCCCTGAAAACTCAAGCTTGGTCCCAGGTGACGTCGGTGCAGCAGGCAGTCTCCCTCCATGCCAGCATATATACAAAGCATAAAACAGTTCCTGGTGTCCTCAACTCTTTGCCTACACAGTGCTCATAAGAATCTCGAACTTGGAATTGGTTCTCCTTTCTTCGTGAGCGCTGTTGTACATTCATTCACATCTTCCGCAGCATCCTCATTTTCCAGATCCTCCACCTTCAGGTTTGTCTAGAAGAGGCTTTTTCCCTTGTAAATCTACTGATGTACTAGAGGCACCTAGGCTTGCTTGAGTGACAGAATCTCCAGGCGATCGAGCTCGTGGTGTGAGGAGCTTTTCTCGAGGTCGGTCATGTGCCTTTTTGTGTCACTTGTCTGGTTATGGACAACAACCTACTGAGTAGCACGATAGGACTATACAGACTCATCAGTCAAGGCAAATCAAAAGCGAAATGGTGAGGTCTTTCTCTTCTAATAAATGTATTTCATTTATATTTTCATATAGCTAGGGGCGATAACCTGTCAGCTTAAATGACCCTTCTCAACTGACTTCTCGTGATCGCACCAACATTCAAACACTCAAGCTTGCTCTCTCAACTACACGGTGGAGAGGTGGCACTCAGACCAGACAGAAGGAACAGGACAACTGGAATGGGCAAGAGGTGACTACTGACATGCTCTAGCTATATGTACCTATGGACCTCGAGGCTCGGGCAGGACCCCTGACACCTCAGACAGACCCTTGGAAGTCCCTGGTGCCAAACCCCCTAACATAACAGAACTGGCTTCCCCATAGGTAAGCCCCTGACAAGTTCGATCTTCACCGCTGGCTTGGTTCAGAAGGTCGCCTTAAGGATGCTGTATTCAAAGGTTCTTTATGTTTAAAATACAAAGATACATGAATGATATATTGCTGCAATAATGCAATTAACACATGCTATATATCAGCCTGAGGATGAAGTTCATTGGTCAGTTAAATCCCCCATGTTTGAATCACGCAGTCACCAGCCTCAGTCTGCAGATGAATGTATGATAGGCGAAGTGTTTTGTTGTGCTCCAGTTTATGACAACTGCCAATTCCCTGCTGCACCTGGACTTGTACAAATATATGCTGGAACAGTGTTTCTTGCGCCACATGTCGTTGCAAGACACTGATATAGCAGAGGCAGTGAAGCAGACATGGTGCTTTTGACACTTTTAAAACTATTGCTTATTTTGAAATTTATGCATGTAGGTTTGATGCAGAGTTGGCTTGTTTCTGGCTCATTCATAAGCATGACTAGAGGCTGGGGTCACTCGCAGTGTAACTTGCACTTCTACAGAGCTGACAAGAGACATAATGGATTCGATTCAGATGTCAACCTCATTCAAGATAAAGATCACTGATTGTCAGGCAAGGATGATCATGAACGACTCAGTGAACATACTTGTCTCCACAAGAACTGGGAATACCAGCTGCTGCCCAAGGCTTGTGCAGTCCCTCAGGACACCAAGCTTTGCTTCTAAGCTTTTGTATCTCTCTGGTGTCCTCGATGGTTGTACCAGGAGCCTCAAAATGTCGATGTGATCGCAAGCCGAATATTGGCCTACTTATCAAGCATCATATTCCTGATCCGTGAGCTTGTTTGTCGTGTTTGACACATTCATCTAACAGTATGTTGAATTCTAAGCTGGTGGTCTAGTTTTTGCATTCATGCGTAAAAATTGCTCAATACTATATAGCAATGCAGAATGATAGGAAGACGTCGATGCTGTAGGCACACACTCCACATCTACCGCGCTGGATCTATTCAAAATTCTAGACACACAAAATTCATACTCACCACTGTGAGTTGCACTCGTCCTCCATGGCTTTGCTACATTTGCTTGTAATATCTTCTGATTCAACAATCGCAGGCATCATCTCAAGACACGGTCAGTGCCATCCTTCTGAGGTCCTAACATGTCTTACTCGACATCAAGCTGACTTCTCGAACAGGTACTGCTGGTCTGTCAAAAGCTCAAAGGGATGTGGTGCTTGGAATGAGCTGTGACATTTTACTGGAGGTTGATGATGTTGAACGCAGCCGAGGAATTGTGGGTACCTTTCTCTAAGCTGCAGAGGTGCGTGTAATATGTATTGTGCATTTTTATGCTGCTAACTACCTCATTTCCATAGACACCCAAGATATAAAAACTTACCTCTCCCTCATCTCCCTCATCTCTTTCTCGCCCTCTTCCACTCCTCTCATTCTGGCGCCTTCCGGTGTGGCTCGCATATGCTCGAGCCACGTCAGCATTTGCTGACATGTGCTGGGGCATTTGTCCTCAACTGATGCTTGAAACTGCTGCTGATATCTGAGTCGGATCTCTGTTGGTTTTAGCTGTCTGCAACTGACACCGAAGCTCACAGCCTTACCCTGCTCTGACCCTGCTCCTTCTCTTTTCCTATTCTGATATAGTTTGACCACCGGATCTCAGAACGAATGAGGTACAACTCCCTTGGGAAGGGTCAAGACCTCAGTCACCACCGGCCAAGCATATCTTCTGGTCATTGATAAGTAAGGATCTGACTCAGACTTTATTTACAATCCCCACTTATAGCCTACTCTGCCTCCAATCACCCATTAACACTACTTCACGCAAGTTTCTTGACAGGATGCCATCCAGAAAGTCGCACTGTCACCTACATGGTGTGGCAACAGTTGATGTCATGTTGTGGTCTATGTTTCTGTCTAAGGATGACTGGTCTTTGATGATATGGCTGAACTTGATCTCATATTTGGATTCGATCCCTGCAACCAACTTCGATTCCATGGCCAAAAACTTGATTCTATGGCTGAACTTGATCCTGTTACATCCTATGGTACCATGAGTTTGATTATATACCGCCAAACTCGAGCCTATACCGGCACCACTGAGCTTGATTGTACACTGGCATCACCAAACTCAATCAACATAAATGAGATAACTTCAAAGATATTGTCAGCCTAGCATGATATAAGTAATATATACACCAATGAACCAGTAAAGGACATAGATAGGACAGACAGAGGATGTACAATGGACCTAAAGAAAAGCTGACATGAGCCAAAGTACATGTGAGAGTCACAATCATTGACCAATGACAAAATAGTTGTGTGCTACACTAGAGATAGCATGCACTATGCAAAGACCTAAGAGATGATACAAAAATGGCCTCTATGAGGCTGTAGAGACTTTAAGTCTTACACCGAGTGATCTAGCATTGTGAGCAAAACTGGTTGTGCCGGCAGATGACAGAACTTGGCAGAACTCAGTGTTGTCAGAGAACTAGTTTATCATAATACAAGCGCTCCGATCGCCTTTGGACGTAGTTCAACCTAAATCATAGTAACAGATGCTTATACACTACGTTCACCGTCGTCTTTTCATCCTCAGTCTCTCCAAATAGCGCGTGAATGTCTTGACGACATCTCACTCTCGACAACGCCGTGTACAGTTGTCCGTGTGCGAAGGAGTCCGTGCGCAGGTCTAGTACTGCTTTCTGCAATGTCAGACCTTGACATCTGTTGAACGTGGTCGCGTAGGCCGGTCTGAGAGGAAATTGTTTTCGGTTGACCGTCCAGGTGCTACGTGGAGGCTTGAAAGAGAATGTGATGCGAGGCAAGCAATGCGTCTCACCAGTCTGAGGGACTTCGACTTCGACGAATCTGCGATGAAGCGCGGTGATGTGCACACACGCGTTTCGCACTAATCCATTCTCGACCGACATGTTTCGTTGTATCACGCACACCACATCTACCTTGAGATCGAGGCAGTGCGGAGGCGTGTTTGTGTGAGTCAACATTGCTAAGTATTCCGGTGTCTGTTCTGGTGCATCTGGAGGCACCTGGTCCGCTTCTTTGAGATAGTCTGAGCTGAAATAAGATTCTGCATTGTTCATTCATCAGTCTCTGGCATCGTTGGACATGATAGGTGCTCACCGAAATCTCCAGGCAGCGCTTCAAGCATGATGTCATTGAATTTGTCTACCAATATATTGCAAGGAGAAAGGAATGCTCGTTGAATGCACGTCATTGGATCCAGTAGAACGTGCGGGGGAAAGAGAAAGTCTACAGCATCAGTGATGCTCCCGATTTGATTGATGAGATGGAGACCTTGACGTTGCCCAGACCAGTCCTCTCCTAACGTGTCCACGAATTTGGTGTACTGTGGGTCTCCAAATGTACGTACAGGTGTGTTGAGAGTGAAGATGTGCATGAACTTCCATAGAGGAGATGATTTCACGGACGCAGCCAGAGAAGCCAACTCTCCTGCACCACTGACGACGGGAGCTACTTGACGAAAGTCTCCCAAGCCGGATGTATTGTTGAATGAAGGTCGACGTTGTTGTCGGTCACGGGAATTCTGAACATATAATGAGCAGTACGACCGCGCTTGTAAGCTGTTGTGCAGAGTGCGCTGCTTCCCACAATCAGAATGATGTGTCCAGAAGCCCGGAGTGTCGATGCCAGCGCATTGACCATGTACATTTTGCCTCTTCCTGGTTGACCCTCCACAAAGAACATGCGGTGTCATCGGGATTGTATGCCATTGCAAATAGCATCAAAAACGTAACGCTGTTCCTCGTTCAACATCTCACACATGTTGTCCCGTTGTGCTTCAAATGCAGCATGGTTGGATGCTAGAAATCTATCTTCACTGATCAATTCAGCCGTGCGCTTGTCAGGAATGCACATCCCGAAGTCTTGAAGGTGTCTTCTGCTGTGCGCGAGAATGTCCTCGATTTGGTGCAGTGTGTGTCTGTAACTGTTTGTGTCATCTCCGACATGCAGAATGTGATCAATTGACAGATTGTGCTTGAACTGCTCCCATAATGACGTTGCGGGATAACCTTCGAGTAAGACTTGTGCGAATAGAAAACAAAGTTGTGCAGGCGTTCGTAGACAGTCCACAGCTTCTTGTAGCGTGAGCAAGCCTTCTCTGTTATTCTTGAATAAACCTAGGTGGTTTGCAGCTTCGTGGAAAGTGTTGAAGACCTGACCATTCACAGTTTGTAGGTCTTGAAAGGATGATGCTGGTTTGTGCAGCAGGAGGCTACAATGGTATCAAGCTGGTCAAAAGGAATTTCTGGGTGCACCTGTCTGCTGTCAGAAAGTGTTGGTTTAAACCGAGCTTACAACATACCTTGATGATGATGTGCGCATGAGGGAATCCCCGTGATAAGATGTTGAGGAACTCGGGCTGTCTGTGACCCTTCCAACGAATGACAACTGACCATGGATTGATGTCTGTCGAATTAGATGCGTGCATGACAGCTGCAAACTTCCCATTGGATGAGAAGTCCTTTAACTCCAGCTGCCTTTTCTTTCTTGAGCGAGGGCGAAATTGACGCAGATGATGGACATAGGGATTCACGTCGTTGAGATCATCAGTAATAGATTGAATGACTGTAGCATGGACTCCGAATTCAAGAGCTTTTTGCTGTCGCATGTGTTCGTCGTAGAGAAACCAGTGAATGGAGTGATCTTCATATTCTGTATCACGGACCAAATGATAAGTTCGTCCAGTGATGGCTACTGCTGGAGGTCCGATAGTCGGACCAGAGTTAAAGTGCTGGAAACCGCCGCTTACGCCGATGCCTGCAAAAGAGAAGAAATTGTTCACTACATGACAGAATTCTATGATGTGTTTCAGGCGTATGTTCTCATTCAGCAGCATCCGCATGTGAACAGGCAGTGGGTGTAAAGGAGGTAGAGCCTGCGCGCCATTTCCATAGCAGAACGAGTCAGATTCAGTGGACAACAGAAGCACATGGCAATGTGGACACCGGCGGTTCCACGTTGGCGGATCAATTGGAGGTGGAGGGTGTTGTCGAAGCGAAACCCACCACGGCACACGCTCCTGTTGAGGAGCCACGTGAGCAGGAGTACATCCTTGTTCTGATGCAGGGGATGGAGACAAAGATGATAGAGGTGATAGATTGGCTGGTTGCAAATTGCATTAATACATGAGTGAAATAGCAAACAATCACTATCTCACCGGTTAGCTGACATCGCAGAGCACTGTGCTGTTGATAATGCATGCGACGAATCTTGTTTTCATTCTGAAGATACTGAGGATCTGTGCAGGCAGCACATTTTAACTGTTGATGACACTGACGATTCACAGGCATCAGGAGGAAATAAACATCAACCAAACACGGCGCAGTTAATTCGAAGTAATCAAAAATACATGGACAGTTAGGAGTAAGCAGACAACAGAACAAACAAACAGATTAAGCCACTTTGGATGATGATGCTGGTTCAATCTCTTCACCCGGCAACCCCTTTTTCACTGATTTGGAAGACAAAACTTTTTCTTGCTTGGTCCCTCGCCTATGTCCTCCGAAGCATCAAGCTTGTGAGCTTTGTCATTGTGCCGAGGTGATAGATCTAAATCAACATCTGAATCAGTATGAGATGCTCGCTTCCCCTTACCCTTTCCACCTCCGCTCCAATTGAAGCTTTTTAACTTGGCAGGAGGAACTGCATCTGCGTGTCTGCGCTTCTCGATGACACCACTGGAAGGTCCAAGAGTGATATCGTGAACACGCACGACGCAGCGGTTGTGAAGGAGCTCAGAGATACAGCCTTGAACAATGATATGTTTCTCAGTCGTGCTTTCGACATGGACATCATGCAGTACGGTATCATGCCACAACAACTCGCGCGCATCCGCTGCTTCTATCCTGAGGATCATCCTCGCCTCACAAAGACACCAGTTCCTACTGCTCTCAACAAGTTCAGAAGAGCCTCTTGAAACCTTGCCGACGACAATGATGGTAGGAAGAGTCCTTCCACTGTCAGTTGGTTGCATCTCCTGAATGTAAGGAAGGATTTGTATTAGGAAAGAAAGGTACAAACATAGAGAACGACGTACATCCACACAGTAAAGCTCGAGAGAGACATGTTCATCTATTGTGCTGGTAATTACGCGAGCGTTGATGAAGTAAATTCCATCTTCAGGTGGCGCAGTGGTTCCACCGAAGATGAAGACAGACACAGCGAGATCTGCAAGATCATCCTCTATGTCAAGAGAGAGAGGCACAAATCCATCCATTTTCCAAAAGTGTTTCCTGGCCTCCAATGCGTAGGGAACAGCATTTTGAATGCCAATGATGCCATGAAATGAGCACACAGACGCCATGATGGTAAGTAATTAGGCCTATTAGGAGGAGAGTTAGGAGAGAGATCACTGCCGTCTGAGATTCAAAAAGAGATCGAGTTGGAGCGCGCCCGTGGAGTCTTTTCATCCTCAGAGTCTGTTGCATGCAGCGTGCAAAAGTGTCAACGACATTGCACGCTCAAAAGTGGTTGTTGATACTCAGCATGTGTTGGCAAGTGGCGCGCGCACATGGTGCCAGACCGATTTACACAACAAGAAGAACTCAGCACGAGCACAGACATGAAATTCAAAGGTACAGCTGGAGCGCGCACGTGGGGTAGACGTGAATTGGTTCCACGGGATCAGATGTTCCGTGCTTATATATATTAGAATGTACACTGTGTAAAAATTGCCCACCAAATGTGTTATATCTCTTCTTACCACTGGACTCTTCATTTACTTCTGCATCTTTAAGGAGCTATTAGTATCAGCAGATTCTGAGATGGACTTCATTTACATTGACATAGAATTATTTGCTCTGTTTCCTTTGATTGCATCAGTGTCTGGCGTATCTCAGTCTCTCTCTCTCTCTCCTCTCCTATTAACAGGGTATTTTCTTATCTCCACTACATGCACCCCAGATAATATCACTTGATACCCCAACTTTTACTTTAATTGACATAGAACTTGCTCCCATATTATATTTCTCAATGAATTTGCAGCCACATCATTTATTTTCCATTGCTATTGTAAGTGCTTGAAGAGAAAGGCTGGCAGTTGCCTGATATCTACATATGAGATCCCTCCTAGGTAATAATTACTATCAATGCTTATACTGTATCACTAGCGGCACAAGCATTCATCAACAATATTAAGAGCTGGTCTTACTAGCCTAAAGATGCTTTGAGGTCTAATATGTAGTAGATGGGTCTCACAATTATTGGGCTGACACCAACAAGTATCATTATAGGGTAATTTGATGTCTCAATGTAGGTTAACCTGGTAGGTCCTTGATTAATATAACTGACTTATTCTTATATAGTGGTGATGGAGTTGACTATGGTGTACTTTGTTCCTTCTGGAATCATCACTAAAGACTCTGGATATTGGTAATGTACCTATGATAGGTACTGGGTACCTGATATGACATCTCTACCACCATGTGATGATGATATTATTGCCTATCAGTACTCAAGATATACTTTCTTTAATTATCAGAGGCATCTTTGATGGTAGAATTTTTTCATATCTAAAGGTGATATGTCTTCTTGCTATATATATCACCCCAATTAGCAGTAGCAATGACATCATTGCTCATTTTAAACTTCATCTGGAGTAGTACATTTGAGGTAGTAGAATACTGACTCTTAATGATGGGTCCAATTTGTTTGAGGAGGATATAGAGATGATAATCCACTATTATGAGCTTGACTATTTCTCTGGTATGTCACCAGCAATAACTTTCTTCCTGCTTATCCTCATCAAAAAAATCATATTTATAATGTCTGCTTTCCTGCCTACTTAATCACTAATATGTTAGAATCAGTTAAATTTCTAGACCAAAAGGAGCCATAGTTGGGGATGAAATGTAGTACATTCATTTATTTGTGAGCTTATTGATGTCTAAGTTGACAACTTGAAGGGAATTTATATCTACACATGCTTCTATGTGATAGATATGCTATTGAACTAGGAATGTGCACACATTGTTGAGCAACACTGCAGGCATTTTCACATTTTCCTCCACCCAACATCCAAAAAACACTGATTGAGAAAATGCATTCAGTGGTCACCCATGCTTCATGAATGCATGAACATCAGTAACCCCCTGAACCAGCTGGATCAGGCAAAGAGAAACATGATGCATCAGTTTTGTTTAGTCTGCACTGATACCATCCCAACACTTGATGCAAAAACCAGTTTTCGAGAGTAGTGTGAGTGATTTGAGAAGGCACTTAAATGATTCATGCCAGACGACATTCTTGAAATTGACGAAGGACTGAGTTCTAGAATATTGTCTCTCTTCTTCAACCTGCAAGAGTCAGTTATAAGCATAGAAGCTAATGACAAATTGAATAATTCATTACAATTGGAAGCCAGCCTATGAGGCGACCACCACCAAAACCCTCACCATTGCATATTCTGACAGGTGAATTTGCAATGACAGGATATGCTTTCTGATGACCAAACAAGGAAAGTTATGCCTTGTTGGCATATATGATAAAAGTGAAGGGTTTTCCTTCATCCTTCAGCAAGGATGACTACAAAACACACATTTACATTGTTAGATCATTCAAATTTAGTAGCACATACATACTTGACTATCCCAGAAGGCATTGGCCACCCATGGCTCATCAAAAAAATGCACAAAGTCTTGTCCATCGTACTTGTACAACCACTGAGCATCAAACATGAAATGCAGACCAAGGCAAGGATCTTTCAACAGGTCACAGGCCCAGTCCCAGAGCAGCCTATACCAAACATTAAAATTGTGCTCCTGGTCCCTATGTGGGACCGAAATCACTTTCTTTTTGAACTACACTTGAAAATTAATCGTTAGCAAGGTATAGCAAGCCAATACTTAGCAGACTTACATTTGCATGACAGGGAGATGCTACATCCCACATCTTACAAATGCTGTCATAGTTAGTAACTGAGAATTTTTCAAGTACAGTGCAACGGATGAGACCAATAAGCTCATTCATTTGCAGTTTCGTAAGTTTGGCTTTCAGAATCAATTCAGCAAAATTGGAGTCAATGTGTGAGGCAAACGGTTCCCAGGGAATAGTATTTTCAGGTACTTGTGAGTGAGTGGCAGTATGGCAACAAAAATCAGCAAAGCGATCAGTTTTCATAGGGATGCCGCTACATGGATGATGCTCTGTCCTGATGTCATCCTGCTGGAATGCAGGTGGCAGGACATGATCATCTGGTGCCTCTTGCGGCACTGTGAATGGTAGACCTACATGCAATGAATGAATGGCCAGGTCTAGTATTGACGATAGAAATATAAACATACCTTCATCAGGATTTACATACGGGTCATAAGTAAATTCATGCATAGCAGGAGCTGTATTAGAGCCTAGAAATCATTAAATAAAATACGGATCCATTAAATCAAATCAAACCTAGGGATGCACCTGGCTGTTGTAATAATCAAACTGGACAGTATTGAAGGTTCAGCAGCTCAGGGTTAGCTTGAGCTGTCAAGAGGAGTTATGCACAGACCATATAGTAGACCTAGTTGAATGTACTCACCTGCTTGAGCATTCTGTCTCTCATGATCTTCCTGCATCCATAAGGCATCCCTCTTGCAGGCCTTCTGGTAGGCAACAAGTCCATAGCTCTTGAATTTCTGGCTGCAAGTGTTGCAAATTGAGGTCCATTCAGGTGGCATGAAGGTGTGTACAGTCCAAAAGTAATAATAATATGTAGATACAAGAATTTGATAGTGATATAAACAGGTATATAGACATTCTAACAGATTGGAATATCATGTGATGTTGTGGAAACAACATCTCAATGGCAATTGCAATGTCACACCATTGCAATGGCGGTAGGAAATTTCCGACAAGAGATGCATGGATCTCAGTTTCATATTTAGGACATATATACAAGTATAAGAAAGGTCTCAGAAAAGCCTGTGGATCACATTTCTTAATCCTAAGCTAATCAGTTGAAAATGTGGGTATGGGTATCTAAAGAGTGGTGAATAGCACAATATATACTATTGAAGTGAACTAAATAATCATACACTGCTTAGACAGTCAACCTATATGTGCAATCAATTGAGGGAGCAAGTGTCAATTGGAGCTGAGTGAATAAGTTGTTTTTTGGTGAGTGAGATGTTGTGAGGGTATACTTGCCTTTTGAGTTGATGGCATTCAAGTTAAACTTGACACAAACATCTCTAAAGGACTAGTTCCACATGTGTAGTAAATGTCTTGTCAGTAAGGAGAGCAAACAGAATACTCACCATTCATTAGTAGCTTATTAGTAGAAAGGAAGTTTTGCACATTTGTAACCATATCTGTCCTTAGCCAGCAAATCTGCAAGTTATGACAAAGAATGATCTGGAAGGCTGTGATCAGCAAGACAATACACAATATGTCATAGCATGCCAGTATAACATGAAAGGCTGCTTGTAGCAGAGCCTGCTATGGTTGCTTTGTCAAGTCATAAAAGTTATTATAAACTTTCAATAGTCATTCCAAAGGACATTATTTTGTATTAGTCTACACAGCTGTCAAAAATGTGATTCTGTCAGAAAGCACCTCTTCTTCATCTTCACAATGTGTGTTTAATTGTTGATACCATAAATCACACTCTTTAAATGCTTGTGACAAAGAAGAAGAACAGTCTAGTGCTAACATGATAAGAAACAATCTCTTGAAGTTCTTCAATGGACAAATTTTCATATACTGAAAGTCCATGAGTAGTTGCTAATGTACTCAGAGCTAGTTTTTATAGTATTTCATAGCCATCAGAAAGTTATCTACATGATCATTGTGATTTGATGAAGATAAATTCACTTAGGTAACAATAGAACAACCTGCTTGGATAGTTAAACATGATTTTATCTGAGTAGATTGCCAGTAAAAGATCATTCAACTGTATTAAAATTATTTGGAAGTGTTAAGACTGTGTACAAAGGGTAGGACTGATTCTGAGGAGCTTGGCTTCAGCTTGTGCACTGTGCCCCTTACCTGAGTATGTGCCCTTAATTTCAGATTGATGCCCGAAGAAAGTCCAAGGACATCCAAAGATGCAGGAAACTTCAGAAGGACTTTTTGGATAGGTGCAAGTAACTTCTGGATGAGTGCGGGAAAGTTCCGGAGGAACTTCTGGAAATTATAATGAGGTTTCATCCTGATATGGATATGTATAATGGCTACTCGGGACTTGTCCTGAGTAGAAGCAAATAGAGGAAAGACTGCAAGGACAAAGTCTGAAGCAGAATAGGTCTGGAGGACCATGGGAAAGATCTGGATGAACTTCCAGAAACTTGGAGGATCAGATTGGATGAGCAAGGAGTGGAGGAGTGGAGGAGCGGAGCTCTAGCCTAGGGATTTTCTCCCTAGGCCCGAGATGGATATTGATTAAGTCAGAGGACTAGAACTGATATGAGGATTTAGTGTGAGATCTAGTGCGAGGACTAATATGATATTCAGACTGAGGGACTACAAGACATATACAAGAGTTTATATACTAAGTGACTATCGGAAAGATCAATAATCAAAGGTCAGAGGCTATGTACGAAGCATAGGTTAATGGATCAGTAAGCATACCGGTAGTAAGTATAACTGAGATACCAGGAATAAGGAATACCGAATAGGCTGTGTTAACATTATATGAACAGGAATTGAATTAAGAAGCTTATCATATATCAGATAGGAAACAGATCTATACATCAGATTAGATATGGTCCAGACGAGATATGTGGATATATGAGATATGATATTAGGGCAATGGGACAAAGGGCGAATGATACAGACTAGCTGCAGAGGTATGAAGATCTGATGTATAGAGATACAGGGGTCCAGAGGTCTGGATGAAGTGTGGGAACATTGTTGGACGTAGGTCCAGAATATGGGATATGACAGGAAGAACATATGTGCCTCTAGGCTGAACATTTTAAGTATGACTAGCAGAAAGCTGTGTAAGATCCATCTCTGAAGGCCAAATAAATTGAGACTCATTAAAATCTTACATTCACAAACAGAAGCCAATCACAGCCAAGCTCAATATCACATCCATCCAGATATATAGTGCAAAAGGTCTGTTGAAAATTATACCAACCATTAACAGTAGGAACATGTGCCTCTTACTTGAAGGGTCCCAGGTTCTCTATGTCATCCTCATTGATTGTAGATACTCCTGACATAAGATATAGTAGAACACTTTAGAGACTTACATTTCTATAGCTTTATAGAGGTTTAATCCTCTGATGCTCTAATCACTTTCTAAATACAGTGCAACTCATATCTCATTTCCATGCACCTAGTGCTCCATTGGGCACTCACACACATCCTGCTCATCCTTTATCCATCCATTCCATGTTCATTTGGTTTATTAGTATATATTCCTATTCTATTCCTGTTAATCCTGATAATGTCTCTGGCACTATGCACACATATTCTGTATCTATATGTCATGGACCCTCATATTACATATTATCATATATTTACTTCAATTTCTAGTTTGCTTTAGTGCTTGACAACACTTAGCTTTACTTACATAGTTTCATGTATTTTTTTCTCTCTTAAGAAGGGACCACCATTATCTCACATTATCATTAGACTCTAAGTCTAAGTTTCCATCATAACTATCAACTAACACTAAGCACCTGCACATACATCAGTGCTAATCATTATATTCTTAACAGGATTTCTTCTTATTATCTTTCAACTTATGTAGAATTGCTGTGCACTAACTATCTGCATGTACACTTTATATTCGCTCAATGTACACTGTTACATCTGATCATATAGTAGCATGTCATAACACTTTCACTTTTCTGTGCTTTATACATCATTGCACACCTTATCAGACTTGACTAAGCACCCAGTTTAGTGTTTTTTTTTTCTATTTATATATATAGAGGAACCTCCTTAGTAACAATCCCCTTGGGCCAACATTAGCTTACATACAGAAGATTATCTGTATATCTCACACTACCTACTTTCCATTACTACATATTCCTCACCTACAACACCTGAATTTAAGACCTTATTAAGGTTGCTATCAATGACAGCTAGATCAGCACACATATTTTATTTATTTCCATTGTGCTGTAGACTCTCCCTTCAGATGCCCTTACTTCTATAATACTACTATCTCTAACCCAGTATTGCAAAATGGCTCAGAGTTACAAATCACAATGTAACATAGCACACTCATATTTTACTCATTTCCTTTGCATAATAATTCTAGAGGATGATTGATTGATAGCTTACTGTTTGTATTTTTTATCTCATGAAAAATGGATGAGAAGTGCTTGCAGCAGTAAAACACTGCTCAGAATGTGCATGCAAAGTTAAAATTCAGCACATACTATATGGTTATGCAAAAAATACAGAAATATGTTGAGGCTACATCACCAGAGAGAAGCTGGTATAAAATAGTGTTTGAGCACAGAGTTGCAAAAATTCTCACCTGCATAGATCATAAGTTTTGCAATACTAGGCTGGAGATAGTACAAGCAAGACTCAATTAACTTGTTGATTCAAGCCTTGGAACCATAGATGGTGAAATTTTGAAAGTCCATGGTAAAGAACAGACCAAAAAGAGTGAAAGATGGTACTGATGATATCAGCATTCATAATGAAAGCATTGAACATTGGTTAGCATGGCAGACATGATATGATATGCACCTGCACCAATTTCACCCCTAGTAGCAACAGGGCACTATTAAGAATATGCTCAAAGATTGAATTTAAAAGGCTTGGCTTCAGTTCGTGTACTGTGCCCTCTACCCAAGTATGTACCCTTAACTTCTAAGGGCTAAAGAACAAAGTCTGGAAGTTTAGATTCTGGATGCATAGGAATTCCAGTGGACATTCAGAAACAGGAGGTAAAACTAATCTGAATGAAGTTTAAAGTAAAAATAAACAGCAGAAGACTACCAGAGGTGGAGGTGGAGAATGAAAAGAGAAGTGGATTAGATTTGGACATCTGGAGATAATTGCATGATAGGTCTCATGTGGATATAACAATTCTAATAATAATTCAGAACAATGTGTTAGGTCTTACAAAACATAGCTACTAATTGACCCTAAAGGATTTCTGGACCAGGCTTAAGGCTCAGAGAAGAGGAAACATCATCAAAATTGCTAAAGACTTAGATTCATAGTAAAAACACAGGTGCACCCAGATCTCACATAGATCCATCCAAAAAGGGCCATAGCTAGGAGCCTCATCAGCTACATCAGTGCTTGCCATTATTATGAACTCAGATAGAGTCTTCTATAACAGCTCCAATAAAAGAGATCAAGAGTACAGTATCAGGTAACAATGACTAGAGGTAGAACTCTAGTGACATGATTATATATCAACTAGTCTCTTCACAAAGAGCTAGATCAGTAGGCACCCTCAGGTCCAAGGTAGTATCAGGTATAAACTGAATAGATTCACGTTAAGAAAAGGTAGCTGGGGTTGTTTATATATGTAGAGAGAAGTGCACAGACCAGTCTATAAGGTTATCCTTATGGTTAATATGAGGTACACTAGAAGCAAGACAGGAATCAAGAAATATTATACATATGTAGTCCTGCAAGTGATGATGGGAAAATGATGGGGTTACTATAACAGTCATCATGCTACCAAGCAGAGCCCAAAGGGACAGAAAATGAAAGAAATAAAAAGAAATGAACAGCCTAAATGAACTTGCTAGAATGACAACATCAATTGGAGTTTTGAAAAAAAAAGTGAAATTGAAACCAAAATATGAAATCAAATAAGTGAAATTAACATCACAAATTGAAACTTAACATGAAAATTAGTCTTGATAAAGTGAGAATTAGCACCCAAACATAAATTACTCACATTTAAAAGTGAAACAGAACTTTGAAAGCCTGAATTGAAATCACTGGGAATTTTGTCTGCTGGTGACTCTCATAACTAAGTCATGTGACATTGGATATTGCACTCAGATATTGAATGCAAAAATTGAACTTGAACATTGAATATGAACACCAAGTTCAATGTTCAATGTCCCAGGTCAATGTTTGAGTGCATTATCTAATGTCCAAATCAAATGTTCAAAGTCCCAGGTCAATGTATAAGTGCAATGTCTGATGTTCAAATCTAATGTCCAATATCCAAGTTCAATATCCTAGGTCAATGTCTGAGCCAAATATTCAATGTAAGGCTTGGAGTTCTTGTGGCCTTATAGAAGCTATTTTTGCAGTGTCCCTCAGGTCCTTTATAACACATATGCATGATCATTTCATTATTAGTCAATGGTCACAGCTCGCACACATGCATTAGTTTTGCTTTGGGTCTGTTGCACATCTTTCCCCCATCTTATTCATGTCCTCTACTTGTCTATTGGTGCATATTTTACTTGATTCATACTAGACTGATCATATTTCTAAAGCTGTTTCTTTTATATTCTGTATTCATCTCCTTTATGGAATTTATCATCCATTTGCACACATTAATGACTTGACTTGAAATAATGTTTAGCCTACTTCCATACACATATCTTTACTAGCCGCACTATCACTTGTATTTTTAACTTCCACATATTGTCTAAATATTCTCTTGCCTATCATTATGCCACCTCTATAATCTCCTTGAGCCAGATTTATACTCATATCCAGAGGTTTATTTGAGTTTTAATCTACTCCACCCTTCCTTCTCCTTTCACCCCTTCTCATTTAGCTATTATTTCTCACACACATCTGTCATCAAACATTAAACTTGGGCATTGAACATTGGACTTGGGCATTGGACTCAAACATTGAACATTAAACATTGAACTACAAAAAGTCTTAGCTTTCAACTTTTGCCCTACTCACCCCATTTATGTTTGCATCTCAGTAGCTAATACACTAGTAGGTTCTTTTTCTCATGCTTGCCTACTGTTTTGCTATCTTTGTGAGTCACTGAGATGTATGTTGATGCAAAAGGTCACAATTCAATTTTTTTCTACTGCAATATATGAAAAGACTAAGGCCTGATGAGAGGAAATTTCTGAGTGATTTCTAAGCAAATTAGCACAGGAAAATGTGAATTTCTTGTCTTACAAATGCTGGTTAACCCAAGCATCAAAAACAGGACCAGCAAATTCATTGGAGTGTGTCATGATTTCAAACTTGAATAAGAGTCCTAGAGACTCAGTCTGGTGTAAGAAGGAGTTGATCTTTGAGGGTGTAGGGTAGCAGACTTCATGGAAAAGTCTATCAAAATCTATTGCAACTATCTCATACACTTAGATAGAAATATTAGTAATACACTAATTTATCTACCTAGATGATGCTCTGCTTGGTTCTCTCAATTTGCCTGCATGGCGAGATATAAGAGAACTGAGGTAAGGAAAGATACTAATACACCATGGATGCATGATGGTGGTCATTGGTACTTCCAGATACAGGGGCACCTAGTGGACTTCACACTCTGGGATTAAGTGCAGATATTGTAGATAGATGCTAAGTATTAGCATTTAATTTGAATATCAGAAAGTGGAGATAGAGGGGGCTGTATTAAGTAAGCAAGAATTGAATTTTCTGACAAGGCTAATGAACTGGGCCACTTCTCATATGACCCCACATCATCACTATATTCACAATTATATCCCAAAATGTGTGCCAATTCGGCTGGCAGACTCTACTATCATCTATTCAGCTGGGGTAGGGTCAGTGGTCTTTAATCCTATGTCTGTGAGCAAGGTAAAGAGTCTTAGAGTAGTCAAGTTTACTCAAGTCTTGCATGTATCTAATCTTCGTAACAATCTCCTCTCAGTTCTGTGTTTAATTCGAAACTGTGGCTTCCGTGCCGATATATATCCTCCTCTCATATGACCTTCTGTAAACTTGGGTGTCTTCTGGACAAGTCCATCTATGGCATTAAGCAAGGGGGCAATCACTGGAACAAGAAGATGAGAGCTGTGCTTAAGTTTCTTGGATTCAGGCAGATGTACTTGGACGCAGCAATCTACATCTATTCTTAAGGTGAAGACTACATCATTCTGCCTGTCTTCGTGGACAACATGACCTTGACATCCAAACCCCTCGCTGCCATTGACCAAATCATCTCTTAGCTTTCCCAGTACTTCAAACTTGCTGGTACACTAGTTCAAAACATACAAACTAGCCAGCCTTACCCATACATAGGTAGATGCAGGGTGGCTGGTTTGCTAGATTAAGTTGTGCTGGCACTTGGTCAAAACTCAGCCCAAAGTAGTTTTGCCCTCTACACTAACAGAAACACCATTACTATGAGCACAAAAGAGCTACTATCACTGCTGAAAAAAGACAAAATGAATGATCTATTAATCAGATAAGTGAATAAACATGTACATGAAATAATGACTGACCTTTAATAAGGCTTTGCAAGAAACTCTGCATTTATGACTGTATTAGATGTGGTAGAGCTATTTCAATTGATGTTGATATTCTTCTGAGTAGTGGTCTTACTTTTGCAGAACATAGTTTGCAGCAGGTGGATATTGTTACAAAGAATGAGAAGTGAGCTTACATATATAAGTAGTTGGTCATCCTGTACTAGATTCCCTAACTTGAATCTACTCAATCTTCCTTCCAAACTACTTCCTTCAAGAGCCTCTCAGCTCTTGTCTCTAGTATGACTTTCTTAGATGCTCTTTGCATCTACATAAGTCTACCTCAATCCACACTCATCATTGGGACAAGACTGTTCTTACTTCGAGCCTAGTGACCATACTTTAAAAACAGTTATCTCAGAAGTCTGTCACATCACACACACACCTATGATCACTACTGACTTAACATTACCAGTCTTACTTGCTACATCAGATTCTTTGGGTTACATTATGAACATTAGTGGATGGTGCCCCTCTTAGGATTCTACATAACAGTGCATAACAGTGATGTGTTACAGTTATCTGTCTCCATACACAGAGGTATAGTATATAGGAAGAGTATATCAGTATACTACAACTTTTCCTACAGGAAGCACAGAATTTGTGTTTTTGTGCAGCCAATGATAGAATCTATAGTTCTACCAAGGTCCCAGCATACTCAGACCATAAGATATCCAGTTGCTCACAGTTCTATATAACCTACAGAACTTTTTTAATATATATTACAGCTGTTTTAATAAATGATGGCAGGGCATCATTTTTTATAAATTATACAAATTAGGATTGTAATACTACAAATTTGAGATTTATATGTTTTCAACTTGTACTCAATACACAAACTCCTCTAACAATATTATACCTGTCATGCTCAATAAACAAAACAGTTTTGACAATGATAGTGATGACTTGCAACATACTTACTATCACAGTACTATTCTTGAAGCTCTTGATGATCCCAGTGCAGATCTGACTGATGCTAAATATGATGAATCCAAGGAACCTACATCCCCTCCTGTTACAACTGGGATTGGTTGAGCCATCTGTGCCCAAAAAAATAAGCTAGAGATAGATGTTGTTTTATTTTTGAATGAGAGATCAAGGTTTTTGGCTAAGGCAAGCAGCACTACTCTTAACTCAGGCTGACTATAATGACATGATAAAACATGTTCATGGAATGACTGTGAAGGCTCCAACAGTCAACATCAATTTTATCCAACAGGTTGTTGATAAAAATGAAAACAGGATGAGGATGAGTCTGAGCTCATGAAGTCTAAGTTAAAGAAACAAGTAAGTAATTGAATGCTTCAGATATTTGTTTTCACTGTAGTTGTCTGAGCAGAAACAGTCAGCTGTGATCCTTCCTGGGAATAAGAAAAAAATCAAAAATATCTAACTCTTATGAGATCACTGAATCTGTAATAAGACAGACTCTGCTTGCCCATCATACACTGCTACCTGATTCCTGAAACAGATAAACACTTTCCACTTGGACATCAGTAATTGGATTGCTAGGCTTCTGCAATGGTTAATATTGTGTGTTATATCTATGCATTAGTTTTGATGCTAACTTTGATAAATGCATCTGAGTCCACATCATCTTCAGCTCCAGTGTTCAACTTGACATTTAACAACAAGTTTGTAAGTCTTTTCAAATCAAATAATATAGCCTCAAATGTTCCAGCCACAAACATTGGACCAGCACCAAACTCTGCACTTTTGCACCTTCCACTATTCTTTAAACCTATAAACAACATGGCCATTACATCCTTCTGTGGACTATATGCAAAGTCTTCACCGATCGAAACCTTCACAATTGATGAACCAGAGGATTCATGAGTGCTTTTGAGAGTGGCATGATCCTTTGTCTATCCAGGAGTGCAAAGTTGTGAAAGAGTGCAAACTCTTGTAGCTGCGGTGACTCAGGGTATGGATGTGGATCAAGAGCATAGTGCATACTGAGTGGTTTTGTTGAGTTGTATTGCGTGAACAATGCCGCACACATGTTATCACTGAGTCGCTGCAGCTTAATAGATGCTAGTCTTGGTTGAACTCATAGGTAAGTTTGTAGTTCTGTGCTACAAGTCAGCGACAAAAAGGATAAGGTCTGAGGATATACCATACACTGACACAATTTGCAGGTCAAAGGGCACAAGTTGTTCTCCTTGGCATTGTCTGTGATCACCCTGCTATGTGCAAACTTAATGGATTTGCTGATCAGTCACAAAAATGTGCCATGTTCTAAATGTGATGTCTCACAAGATAATATGTTTCCTGATGAATCTCTTCATAATGGTATGTGCTTCAATTGTATAATTGTATGACCTTTGTAATTTTCTTGTAGAGTTTCCTGCCTGTGATGGTGAAGCACATCCAGTGGTATTATGAAGATCACGCACTGTTGGATGATGGTGCACATGCAGCATTCTTCAAAGAACATGGTGCCTGGTGGACTGAACTTGCTTACCTCTCGTACTTTGATCTTGTGCAACAAACAACCATAGACCCAATACTGCTTGGCCCATCATCATAAGATATTTAATTATTTATCCTTATTATCTAGTACCATTAATTCACTCTATTAGATTCCAATTGTTTGGCAAACCTTCATCGACAAGTCGAATAAAGACTTTGAGTCTGCAAGGAAGCGCTATCTCAAGGCTCAAGAAAAATTCAACATGGACTTTATGGCATGGAAGGTGCGTCAAGAACTTCACAGGCTAGCACAAACATGTGGAAGAGAGGTAATTGAAGCAGATGCTGAGTGAGTCTAAGCCTCCAAAGCAACCTAATGTCTGCATGCAGCATGATGAGCCAGCTAACCTACTACATCTATCAACTGCACTGAAGATATTTTGTGGAAGCTCTGTGCAGCTTGATTTGCTACCACAAGCTGAAGCACTACTTCAAGAATATCTTCTTGAATTCAAATGGGTAAGCTGTTTCTTCTTCGATATCAATCATGGCCAAGCATGCACCCTTAGATGTATGGCAAAGAGTCAATGAAGCCGTTGGCAACTTTCACTGGTCGGTTCACCTTGTGCAGCAAATCAATGACTATGGGCCTGTTTACAACTTCTGGGTGTTTCTGTCTGAGTGACTCAACAAGGTACTGAAAAGTTCCAACAAACAACTGGACAGGTGGGCAGGTCAAAATTTCAGTGATGAGGGAATTCATGCGCGCAGCACAAATTGACTCCATGGTAAGCAGATTCATATGCTATACATCAAACTAACTTTAACAAGCTCGTAGAGCACTTCAATCAACCCAAAGGAGCCTGAGCTGGATGTATGACTAGCTTTTTAGTGGACATACCTTGTGGATATGCGGGTGTATGATAGATGCCGAGCCATGGGAATACAGAGGGAAGTCAGAGGGAAGTCATGCTGAGCCATGTTTAGACAGATTTTGGTTCATTTTTCCAGGTCATGTCATGTAAACACATTAGCTACGAACTCAGAAAGGCAACATTATTGGCAACAACGGTTACTTGTCTTGTCGTTTACCATATTTGCGGTATCTAGGCTGTAAAGTATGAGAAGCATGCAAAGCAACTTTGCTGTTTGTGCTTTCCATATCTTGCAGTCTTTGGCCCCATTCATTGATGCCTCTGAAATCTGACTATTGCAACTGTACTAGGAAGTGCAGAGGAATCCACAAGGCAGTCACTTGGGGCGTCTACAGAAGCCACTACAAATTTCGCAATAAAATGGCTGAAGTCATGCCAGAGACTATATTTCGTCAACCAGCTAGGCCAACAGAGATGTACCAGGACCTACTGCACAGATATCATTCACCAGATGAGCCTGCCAACCCAGAGCAAGCTTCTGACACCAGGAGCACAGACCGTTTCCCAGAGACAAGATACAAAAAGATGTATGTCCTACCTGGTGTCATTATGCCTGGACCTTACAAACCCAAAAACCTCAATGCCTTCCTGTTCCCTGGTTTCCACCACCTTGCAGTACTTCAAAAGAAGGTCTCACTGTGTGGAATGCAATGCACAATATCATATTTGTTTCCCATTCTTTCCTTGCACTGGAAACTGCTGATGGCCCTGGGCTCGCATACCTAATGGCCTTGTCGGCCACTATGGGAAGAATGGCTGTCAGTTGTACTATGGTGTTAGAGGGCACCATAAAGCTGGGTGCTCACACTATTACCCTGTATATACAAAGCCCCCATACTATAATGTTGAAGGTTGCAATCATCCTGATGTGGACATCAAGAACCTCCCTATATGTTTTTCAGACATCTACTGGAGAAACTTGATATACGTCCTCTTGTCACCTAATGAAGGTAAGCTTGAACTAGCATACCAGCTGCTCTACATATACTTGGGTAGCCATGAAGCTGGCCAGTTTGTAGGTATAAAACTAGCATACTGGTCATCCTGCATTCACCAATGTATGCTAACAGACTGGCCAGTTTGCAGATATTAAACTAACATACTAGCCAACCTGCATTTACTTATGTAGGGGCCAGCCTGGCCAGTTTGCAGGTATTAGACTAGCATACCGGCTGTCCTAAATTTTCTTACATAGGGGCCAGTCTGGCCAGTTTGCAGGTATTAGACTAGCATACCGGCTGTCCTAAATTTTCTTACATAGGGGCCAGCCTGGCCAGTTTGCAGGTATTAAACTAGCATACTGGCCGTCCTGCATTTACCTATGTAGTAGTCAGGCTGGCCAATATATATGTACATAGAGCAAGGAAAGCCAGTTTTTACTCAAGTCATAACTTATCACAAGGCACTGCCTAAGTCTAGACAAGCATATGTAATTACTGTACAAAATTGACTAGCAATGAAGATAATGGAGGATACAAGATTATATCTTCTGGGATCTCTTAGAGGGTTGCCTTGCCCTACCTGATCTACAAACCGCAGGCTTGGTCCTAGGCTTCTTGGACTTACTTGACGAAGCATGGTTGATTTTTCTCTTCCTCCCTTTCTGCACTACCTCTTTAACCTCCTGCTCCTGTTCTTCTCCCCCAACTACATTCTCCTCTGACTCAACATCCTTCTCCCCAACCTCATGCCTTTCCTTCTCTACCACCATCCTCATCTCCTCATCCTCGTCACTGAGTCCCTCTTTGTTCAGCCTCTCAATCTGACCAACAACTGAGAACAAGACTTCCCGGACAGCCTCATCCAGAGCGACTAAGAACTGTAGATCAATAGCAGAATGAGGTAGGTAGAAAGGGGTATTGGGATCAGCCTCATCTTCCTCATACTCTATCACACGCTTAGACTCCCTATAGAGGAGCCCAATTTCTAGTACTACTGGCATTGCCGATGATGGCCCTGAGATTGGACAGGTCTGTAGCTTGTTTAAGCTGGCCATCAGTGTCGCATATAAGGTGTGAATGTCCTTAGGAAGATAATTTTTGCTCCAAGACCAGTCCACCCAGGTAGGCAAATCTTAGTGTTGCTCAGAAATTGGCTGTTGGATATATAAGCCATAAAATTGCAACAGCACCAAGTGACACTAACCTTCTGTCTGGCTAATATTGCCAGGTTACTAGTGGCATCCACAAGCTCCAGATAGTTTTCAGTTTTGCTAAGGGTTTCTAAGAATGTGTATTGGTCATTGATAGTAACATCATCTGGTATTGTTGCATGGGTGGCCAGCTGTGTTGTACGTTCTGTGAAATGAGAGGCAAATGGAGCTAGCCAGCCTTGATCTTCTTCATCTAAGTCTAGGGTGCTCACTACCTTCATCTTGGACTTCCCAGTGATCTGAATATCAGCATCCTTGGCCTTGATAAAGATGACTACCTTTTGATTTGTAGCAGAACGTCATTCCCAATACATCCATAGACGATTTACCTCCTCTGTCTTCATATGAGAAGGGTCTTTGACCACATATCCTGTGAGAACTGAACCAGATTTCAAATAATTGGATGGGCTGGCAGTTATCACACCCCAAGGTACAGGTCTAGAGCCACCTGTGCAGACTTCTACAAACCATTGAGTCAATCAAATATCATATTGAACATGTTAGATCTTATTGTATGAAGTATGAAAGATACTTCTAATTAATTTGTGTTGACCCTTAAGGCCAATACCATCATGGAGAGGAAGTTTTGCATACCCCTCATCATCTACTATGATTTCAGATAAGACAGGTCCATCCTCAGAGTCTGAAGCCACATGGTCTGAATCCTCTGAAGGGTCTATCAATTTAGTAGTCAGTGAGCATGATATTTAAAATTAAATGAAACACATACAAAATTTAGTCTTAGACCATTCTCCAAAAGATTCAAATCCATTTGCAGCCCACTCACTCCTTGATACCACTCAAGCTCACATAAAAATTTTCTTGGCATTCTGAGGCGTAGTTTCATATCTATAGTAGTTTAGTTAGTCTTGATATTTCCATCATGTTGATTTGATGACTTACAAACTGACGGACAATGTCTGACTAGCTTTTTTCTTATGACTAACAAGCATTACTATGTGACAACCCATGGTGCGCCAAATTTGCTCTGCAAAGTCTTCCAGAGTTTTCTTGAGGTTATTCTTACGATATCTCAAGCCAAAGTGTTAGACTAGAATAACCATAGATTTGAAGTAAAACTTACATTGCCTGAGTTTCTTCTGGTGCCCCTCCTCATTCCATTTCTTCATGGCAGACTTGAGGTGCTTGATTGAATACTCCAAGCCTTTACTCTGTTGTTGGGCCTTGTCATATGTGTCGATCTCCTGCTTAAATAATTTCTGTGCCACATCCCACTCAGACAGGGGTTTCTTATAGAAAGATAGTTCTCTTGGGTGACTCGCTGCCTCACATTCGTCTGCCTCTTCCTTGTCTTTGAGACTTTTGGCATAGTATTCTTTTATTGCCTGTATGTAACATTTATGTATATCATCAGACAACTAAATACATGTACAGTGTAAAATTTTTGTGACCTTTTTCAAGGAAGTAGGCAAGGCAATGTGTTCCTGCCGGCATATGTTGATTTTGTGGATTTTTTGATGCAACACATTGAATTGTTATAGCACAGTTTATTGTTATTGTTGATCATCATGTGACTCTACAAATAATAACAAACTGACATGTGCATATGAACAACAACAACCAGTTCTCACAGTTCAATCTCTCCTTTCGTCTTACCTTCATCATTCCCCTTCATTCCTTTACTTTATTTTTGTCAGTGCTGTTACTCAAGGGCAACTTCTGGTATACTCCTTTGGGTTCTTGCAGACTGCAGCTGCAGGAATTCAAAGGTACCACCCTGCAGTCACCCTTCAAACATAGTAAGTTTAATTTTTTTGGCGCGCCTACTTACTAACTGTTTTCATTTACATATACTCTCTTTCTTTTGGGGTCTCTCAAGGTAAGTTCTTAATTTCTCGCACCCGCTTGCTAATGTCTGTCATACATAGGATTTTTGATACTTAGGGATGGCGCAATGAGAGTCACTCTTCCTTTTGAGTGCCCTCTAGTTGCTCAATAGTAAGTCCTCCTTCTCTTGCATCTGGTTGCTAATTTTTGTTATATTTAGTACTATACTTATGGTTTTTGACTTGGGCTAGCCCAGTTAAACCTCTACTCAAACGGTAAGTCCTTCTCCTCTCGCATCTGTGGGCTAATGTCTATTTTATTTAGTATTTCGCTTATTGGGACTAGCACAGTGCATGTCACTTGTCAGTGGCTCCTGCTCTAACTTTTTAATAGCCTGCTCCAACTTTTTTATATTGTCTGTTCCGACTTTTTGTTTGTGGTAAGCGCTCAATTCCTGATGACCTTAACTGATCTGTTTTGTTCTCTAGATTGCTAAACCTGCTGATACTTTTGTGTGGCAAGCGCTCTCTAGTTAAGTGTTAATCTTGTCTTAAATTTCGGTCTAACATTTCTATAGGACAAATTTGTATTATATTATATATATTTTTACTACATACATTTTCACCTGGAGTGTTGAGGCTTTGGTGAGGAGGGCCCCCTCATTGAAGTCTCGCCTCCCCTTTTGTATTTCACTTTACTTGTGCATACTTGTAGTAAAATTTATTGTCACTCATACTTCGTAGTTGAAAATGTATGTTGATGGACACACTTTATTTGCTGCCAGCTGAAAAAGTCATGTGACCATGTTATATTAGCAAAGAGCCATATTAAGAAAGCAAGCACAAAAGCACAGTAGTGTATAATAATAATAATAATAATAATAATCAAATGCTGCACAGACCAAAGCAACAAAGCAACTATGATCTACTACATGTCTTAGATAGATAATGTGTTATGTAGATCTCAATTCTGCCTTGATGTGGCTTACCATTGATATGCTGAAGGACGCTGTAGAGACTTATGCCTCTCATGGTGTGATATGGCAGCTTTCACTAGGGACATGGTATGAACTTGTAGCACCACTCTGTGTGCTATCCGCAGCTATTCCTATATGAGGTGCAGCTTTCCCGTGCAACACACACCATGGGCACACACTTCCTGTGCTTCACAATGTATATGCATGTGCGCTTTCCTGCGCTTGAGCGCCCTATAGCACCAGCCATCCAGAAGCATCCATCTACTGTCCACCAAGCTCTCTAGTGCGTGTATTTCCATTTCCCTTATTTGTATATCATTCCACCTTTATTTTTATCATGGACCCTTACTTATATATATCTTTACATACCTTACTTGGTAGTGCTTTGGCTCTGCATGACAGCACTTAGGTGCTGTATATAAGCGCCAGTAGTACATACCTACTCACCTAACTTGTCACTTTACCCAACCTTACCTACCCACTTGCTACCTAGAAAGTCGCAGTAGAAATCTATTCCTTGACATCTTGCACTCTCATCTCTTATTCTGCATCATATCATCACTTAAGCTTAGTCTCTCTCATTTCCGCATACCTGCACGCACTTTCCCGTGCTTCGCGCATTCCTGCGCCTTCATGCCTTGCGTGCACCTGCACTTTCTCGCGCTTCGCTTCAGCACATACTTCTAGATCCTTGCTGCACTTGCTTCCTCTTTAGGGTTGAACACACTTGTCATCTCAAGTATAGCAGACTAGGCAACACACGACCTTACAACACTTATAGATACAGTCAGGAGCCTTGTTTGCACTTCACTGTATTGTTGTTTCTACAATGCTATCATTGAGTATTGTCTGCCAGTCAAAATATACTATTGCCATAGGCAGATGGTGGCAGAACACTAGGACAAGTAGCAATGACGCCATATGATACAAACTTTCCTTCCTGATCAGAAGGTTGATCAGAAGGCTGACTTTTCCCTTCTGACCATGGAGGGGATTTGAAGAACAGTAACATTGATCATTGACTGTCAGTCCAAAATATGCTTGTAGTACACTAGCATATTAGTATCATTGGTTGTCCGTCAGTCCAAAATATGCTAGTGTGCTGTAACATTGATCATCGACTGTCAGTCAGAAGGCAATTTCAAAGAAGAATGGTGCAGGGCAGTTTGTATCATATGGTGTCATTGCTACTTGTGCTGGTGTCCTGCCAACATCTGCCACATGCCAATTTACTATTATACACTACTGTTTTTGTGATTGCTTTCTTAATAAGTAGATTCAGAATATCATTCATTCTTCTGTGGTAGTCTGCCAATATTAGTCTTCACTCTTCCACATCTGAGCAAGTTATTACAGAACTAATTATGTCACATGGATCATGTCACAATCTGGGCAAGACTTCACTTAATCCATCTTCCATCAGTGGATTCCATTTATATATCCAAATTTGATCACGGGACAATTTTTTTGGAATCATTTCATATAGTCATTTAAGTTAAATTGAGTCTTGATCCGAATGAGCTGGTTGAAAATTTTCCTTGCTCACCATGGACCAACAAATGAGTCAATCAACCAAGCTGAGGGCAGCTCTGACCACAAGGATCAAGGAAATTATGAGAAAATCATCAGCAACAGGGATCTTCAAAGGGGAGAAATTGCAACCTCACCGTTTACACAAAGCAAGGTGAGGTTATATTTAGGGCCTTATTTGATCCGCTCTATTGAATGGTCTCACTTAAGATTAAGAATTGGACATGAGCTAGACAGTTTCTTAGCAACAAGTGATATCAACTTCCATGCTTCTGGGTCAATCTCAGAATATGAGATCAATTGAGCTGCACTGACAGTTGCTCATGCAATGGTAAATCCTTGTGAGTTATTTCACTCTGCAAGATATCACCTGGTTTTAAATTCCCATCATTTGCAGATTATGTGGATTGGGATGTTGACAGATTTGCTGACATGACCAAAGTCTCTACACCTAAATCTGATGGTCCCCTCGCTAATACCGATCAGCTACCAAAGTACTTTTCTGCAGCTATGATTGGCAAAATTTCAGTACCAGCTACTATTATGGACCAGCAAGGTAAAATCATAACAATTTACTTGCCAAATATTCTGTCTTCTTCTCAGGTTGTATGTTTATTTTTCCTTGGGAATTCCCCTCATAAATTGATAAATTAAATTAGGAATATGTGAACTCAGCCACTAAGAGTTTACAGACTTTACTTCTTGAAATAATTATATTCTCCACCCAACAGTCTTAGCGATCTCAAGGCTTTTTGTCCCAAAGGGGGGTGGAGAATTTGGAGCAGGCAGAGTCACAGTATCACCAGCATATTTTATGCAAAGACACGAGGTATAGGCCAAATTTAGTGATTGTTTAGCTACTTTTGACTTTGTTTGATTTCATTTGCAAAGACTGGAAGACCCAATGGTTACTTCGGCTTCCTATAAGTCTATGGAAGTCCAAGAGTGGCTAGCTGTTTTATTAGCTACTGAATCTTTCTGGAATGCCATTACCGCTGTATCAGCTCCAGATCTATTCAAAGCAGGCACCTTGGTAATCACTCGTATTATTGAGGAACTTCAAGGTTCTGATAGAACATCACTACCCATCTGTGATTGGCCCTCAATCTTCTCAGGATTGGAAATAATTGCAAATTGTACAACTTTATCACACAGAGATTCTGGTGGCACACCTTCTCTTTTTGATCTTCTGATCAGTTTAGGTAGTGACCATGAGGCTAAGTTGACATTAGCAGATGTTGGGGCTGAACTGGATTATTACTCTGGGACAATGGTCTTCATTTCTGGGAAGGTTTTACAACATTCTATTGGTCCATGGGGTCCGGGAGAAAGGCTCGTTATTGCCCATTTTATGAGGGATAAAATCCACTCTAGAGTCGGGGTATCCAGACTCCCCTTTCCAACATAGGCCTATTTTTGCAGATGATGGAGCAGCAGGAAAGTTATTGGTTGTGACAAGTAGATGATAAGAAAGGAGTGGTTCTTGGAGGAGGAGTGGTGGAATGGGACCAATCAAGTGTTTGACAGTATACCTACTATATCAGTTGATGTGATCTAGTGATTCCTATGAATGGTTTTAACTATCAAAAATTGAATGTTGATAATATCAAATTTTCCCCCCACACATAACCCTATGTCTCCTAAGAAAAAAACTTGACTCAAGGCAGCTACATTTTCCTTCCAAGGAAGAGGTTGTTTGTCTAAAGGCAAGGACCTTGATGTTGCCTATGTATCTTATAAACAAGTCATTGGAAAGAGAAGGAAGCTAACCTGGGTGGAATCATGTGCTGATAACCTTTATGACACTGCCCTAACACCATCTCCATCCTCCAGCCCTTGTAAACATATTAGAGAAGACACTCAAGGATTGCAAAACAGTCATAAAGATTTTGATAAACAAACCCTTGGTGACTTTGTTTCTTATGTAGAGAACTCACAAAGAAAAACCAAGGCAAGCATAGTAATTTAGTGTCTTTTAATGATGTACTAAATAGAGATTATTATAACCAGACACAAAATGATTTTATCCAAGAATATCTGCCTTTCCGAGACTTGTACTTGGATATTCTCCTTGACTTGGAGAAACCCTCTGATGTATCCCAGTGCCAGTCTTGTCAGATTGGTGAAGGGAAATTCTGCTGTTTGACTTACAGTGAAGATCAGACATTCTGTCATTCTTGCATTGTCAATGCTCACCAGTTTTTGTCCTTCCACAAGGTTCAAGAGTGGACTGGGAAATGCTTCAATGGCACACCACTTGAAGAATTGAGTTTTATCTGGTATATGGGCCATGGGGGATAACCATGTTAATTTTCTGATGATGTGCATGCATGAGAGAATATTCTGATAGATGCAGAGGCTGATTTTTCACCAATAGAGACAGTTCATGGTCCAACTATACCAACCAAGTTGACCATTGTACATTCCACTGGAGTGTTTTTGCACAACATTGTCTGGTGCAGCTGTCCTGGGGTCAATTGTCTGCAGCATTTGCAATTGCTGAAAGCTAAATTATTTCCAGCCAGTACCACTTGACCACAGACTACCTTTACTTTTGATGTTCTCAATCATTTTCTAATTGACGCACTGGAGTGCAAGACTTCAGCATCAGCTTCTTTGAAAAAATCCATTGAATGACCAATAATTGTTTCCCAGATACTGTTCCTGTAAGTCTTATAAGTCTTCTTGGTAAAAGTTAAACTAACAGTACAATTTGTTTTTCTAGAATTGATATTGAGAATTCATGAGAGTGTCTCAGCTGTGGAGAGACTTGATGAGTCGAAAATGATTTGGCTTTGCCCATAATGATGAATAGAAACCAGACAAGAGTGATCTGGCTTGGTTTTGCCCTACTTGTCCACAGCCTGGGATTAACCTACCTTCTGACTAGCAAGCCAGATATGAAAGGCAAGTCATTTATCCATGGTCTCCTTCTAAGGAGAGGTGACTCAATTTCTCTACCACACTTGAGAATATCATACTTACTGGCTAGCCCTACACTGTATAGTGTACAGGAGCTCCGGCCGGGCTGACTTATGTTCTAATCAAGCTGGCCAGCATGACATACACTAGATGTAAAACCAGGCCGGCTGGCACATTAAATTGACTTGCTAGCTTGACACAGATAGCATGCATAATCATGCTGGCTGGTTAAACTAAGGTGCATAGATGTTACCCAAAGACATGCCAGCCAGAGAGTTGGTTCGGAGAGAGACTTCTACTTTTCTTTTTTGCACATTTTTAATCTTATGCTTACCTGTTTGTACAGTTGGCTTGTTTCACAAAGATATGTGGTAGACGGGAACTTCACTGCTCAACATATGGTAATGAGAAAACCACAGTTGGACATTAGTTTGTCAGATGGGCTTGGGTATATGGTGAAAGATCAAGAATACTAGACTCATCTGTTATCTGCTGTAGAAAGTAAAGAGGTAAGTTGGCTCATGACAACCACTTTTCATTCATGCTTCACTATCTTTGTAGCGGTCTTCTTGCAGCAATCATCGTACAGTAAATGCAGCCAATATCAGCAGGAACAATCTTCGAGCTACAGGTGTAGGAGCAACTGCTTGTGCTCAACATGGATGCTTTGTTTCTCATAGTATAGTTGATTTTCAGAAGAGTGAAAGGTCTGTGATTGGCTTGCTTTGCAAGGTACAGCCTCAACTTTATTCAAGGGGCTGACATGTTGATAGTGAGATTTTGGAGACTCTGTGGGCACCATTCAATAAGATCTCCCCAACTGCTCAGTCAATGAGTCAGGCTCACCATCAAGAAGTTCTTGATGAACATATGCGAGACTTAAACTAGAAAAAATAGTGGGAATAAGTAAGCCCTCCAAATTTTGCATTTGAATAAGCTTGACGATTGAGCTTCCAGTGAAGACTCTCTTGAAAAAGTACAAACAGGCTCTCAAAGGTGTTGATGACACAAAGTCTCCCTTTGACGAGCTCACTCTATCTCTGGACCCTAAGAAGATTTCGATATGGAAGATCAATGAGAAAAAGGCCATGGAACAATGTGGAAAGTATCTTGATGTCTATTAGTTGCAGATGAACAAAGGTAAGTGAACTATGTCTAGTTGTGAGGCTGCTATTCTTATATAGACGTCTGATCAGTATTTGTATCTAGCTCCAACTATGGCAGAGATTAGACTCAAATTAACTGAGTCTGAGAATACCGACACTAGCAAACCTGGGACAGTCTCTTAGCTCATTACTGACATCAATCTGGAGGATTTATAGTATGTAACCAATACAAATAGAGAAATAGTCTGATGTAGTACTATTTTAGGAATGGACTAAGGGCAGATATTCGACAACTTCCTACTGATGCAACCCCAGGACAGAAAGCTTCTATAGAAGAGAAGCGACAGAGATTGACAGCTAGGATAGCTAAATTTCATGAAACAGCTAATGCCATGACTGCTAGTATGGATCTTAGAACTGCAACAGTGCATTCCAACAATCCTAGATTCTGCTATGTAGGTCATGATGAAAATGGTTGGGGAGAGGTCTCAGATGAAGAGATCTCAGAGTATATTGACGAAGAAATCTTGGCTGAAGAGATGGGTATCTGGATGCCATCATTAGTGCCCTACCAGGATGCATTGGCTCTTGGACTGGGTCCTTTTCAAGCTGAAGAATTAGAACTTCAAAAGGGCCAAGCCAATGACTGCCTCGAAAAGCTTCAAATGGCCCTTGGTTATAAGGCCATCATCTATTGTCAGTATTTTTGAAGTGCTAATTCTACATAGACTGAGACTAGGTCAAAGCAAGAAGCTCAATGCTGTCAGCTCAAAATTGACAAGTGTGTAAGAAGCTATCAGAGGGCAAGGTCAGCAATGGAAGGTCTAGGCATGGACAAAGCCACCTTGGGGAGTTTTTATCAGCCAATATCGCCTATAGAGCTCAGTATAGACAAATAGATGATGGAAGAAAATAGATTTGGACAAAGGTCAGACTGGCTGGCTTGGTTTTGGAGGGGAAATAATGCAAGCCAAGGTCAAGATGATGCCTGGATAGATGAATGTAAGAAAAAATCTTTATCTCTATGATATGTTACTAAAGCTCCAACCAATCTAGTCTACAGGGTGAATTGGTTGAAGACTAAGGCTAGATGGAATAGATGGTAAGAGGAATTAAGACTAGTAAGATATGAAATGGGTTGGACCATAAACTGGTTTAAGTACCACCAGAATGAATGAGAGAGAAGGGGTGGCCAAGCCACCAGACCTGGTCATCAAGCCTATGCTTATCAGCAGGTCTTGATGTGGGGAAGATTTGTTGAGGAGGCGGAGAAAAATTTTAATAGATGTCAATTTATACTTTGATCTGGTATACTGTCTTTGCTAGGAAAAATATGACAGGATAATTCTCTCTGCTAATGAATGACAAGGTAGCATAGCTAGCACTAGCTCCACTCTATGTAGTCCACAGCTGGCTAAGATAATTGTATTTAAGATGTGGACTGGCCAGATGGTTCCTACAGCATGTATGTATATGGCTGGCCCTTATAAGAGTATATAACTAGCTTATATCTACTCTATGCAGTCCATGTAATTCTGATACCAATAACTGGTTAGCCTTGATTCTACAATAGACAGAATCAAGTTGGCCGGTATGAAATGTTAAAACCAATAACCAGCCAGTCTTGATCATACATGTTGTAGGAACTATCTGACCAGTATACAAATCTGAAACCAATGACTGATCAGCCTTGATTCTACTATTGTGCAATTAAACTGACCAGGATGCAATATTAAAACTAATAACTGGCCAGTCTTAATTCTACATGCTGTAAAAGCTATGTGGCCAGTATGAAATTCTGTAACTAATGACAAACTTGTCGGAAAAAGTTATTTTTGCTTGGCATACCTTATAAGGCATTGCAAGCCCTCAATTGACCAAGCCCATTTGAAGCGCTTGGAAGCGGACCTGAAAATCTTGCAAGCGAGGCTCAATTGATACTTGCAGGCTGATTGCAACCTCATTTAGAGCCAGTTCGGCAACGAGATGTTGACCGAGGTTTGGCAAATGTCAGGTGAGGCTTCTCGGCTTGAAGCGTCCCAGACGTCGGAGCTCAAATTATAGCTGTATTCGTCCAACCCTAACACCAGCTGTTATCAATACACTATACACATTGTCCTTAATCTATGTCCTACAGCAATGAGTGTTCAATCGCGACTCCCACCTTACGTGCCCCAACGCCCAGAAACTCGATGTCGCCTCGTCCAATATTCGATCCTTCTTGTTAGTATTCTGATCAGCGCTACAGCCAATATATTAGAGTCTGTGTATGCAAAGGATCTAGAGCCCTATCACACATCCGCCCTCTCTGGCGAAGCCTGGGTTATGGAGCTGTTGTCTGGTCATCCAGAACGGATTCGGTGCGAACTTGGTGTGCATGCACACATCTTTGCAGAGCTCATCTCTGAGATTCGTGCCTTCGGACACACTGCCTCCAAGTTCGTCTCGCTAGAAGAGCAGCTTGCAATTTTCCTGTACACATCTGTTACAGGTTTGTCCCTCAGACATGTCGGTGAAAGATTTCAACGCTCGAATGATATGATTTCCCGGTAAGTACTGTGTGCTAACAGTTTTTATATTGTCTCATGTTCTATGTAGTTACTTTTGCAAGATGCTCAACATCTTCTCGTCGTCCCCCTTCTATACGAAATATGTCCAGTTACCAGACGCTTCCGTTCCCAACAAAATCCGCCGTAACCCAAAGTTCTGGCCATTTTTCAAAGATACCATTGGCGCCATCGACGGCAGCCACATTCATGCATTGCCTCGCGCATTCGAATGAGGTCCCTATCGTAATCGAAAGGGATTTGTTTCGCAAAACTGCTTGTTTGCATGTGATTTCGACCTCAACTTCATATATGCCCTCACTGGCTGGGAGGGGTCGGCTACAGACACGCGTATCTATGAGGCTGCAGAGGGCCATGACCTTCGCATTCCTGTAGGGAAATATTTCCTTGCAGATGCAGGTTTCCCTCTGCGGCCTGAACTACTCATTCCTTACTGTAATGTGCGCTACCACCTTGCAGAATGGGGTCGTGCGAGTGTAAGGTGAGTTGTACCAGCCTTTTTCTTCATGTTATGTGCTAATTTTTGAAAGGCCAACTACGAAACAAGAGCTGTTCAATCTATGTCACACATCCGCTCGAAACGTCATCGAGCAGATATTCGGCATCCTCAAACGACACTTCCGGATCCTCCTGCTGTCCCCACCATATGCTATGGGCATGCAAGCTCAGATTCCAGCTGCATTGTGCAGCGTCCATAATTTTATCCACTTACATGATCCCGCAGAAGGCAACCTGCCTGACGTGGACCACCCCATCGGTGATGTGCACACCCCAAACTGGGAGCAGGAGCCAGCAGAGAATCATCCGGCTGGACACGATGACGTCCATTTGATGCGTGATCGCATTGCTGAAGCAATGTGGGTGGATTATCAGCGCATTTTGCAGGAGAGAGGAGATGATAACGACGATCTATCAGAAGGTATTGCAGAGGAGGATGAGGATGGACTGGACTAGTACTAGTATTCACTTGTACTTTACAATATTATATATCAGCAGTGGCAACCACAACCATCTACTCCTGATCCGTTCCCGGTCCTGCAAGTTCCTTCTCACTCTCATACATCATTCCTGGTCCCACAAGTTCCTTCTCACTCTCATACTTACTTCTCATTAGTAGCAGCAACCACAACCATCTACTCCTGACCTGTTCCCGGTCCTGCAAGTTCCTTCTCACTCTCATACATCATCGTTCCCGGTCCCGCAAGTTCCTTCTCACTCTTATACTCACGCTCAATTGCACCTATACATTGTTCCTGGTCCCACAAGTTCCTTCTCACTCTCATACTCACACTCAATCGCACCCACATACTCATCATGATGTCATATAGGATGTACAATACAAGTACTACATGTTGATACGAAAATGTAATGAGAAGTGATACAAATAGTATGGTAGTTCTATGTAGACACGAGGAGCCCAGAGATAAACACGTGGCGCATCTCAAAGTCATCCTCCAGCTCAACATAAGCGGCAAGATTGTTCTCCCCTCCTGCACAGGTAAATATCCGCAGGAGGGTGGCTCTCTGTTCAACTCCCAGATCTGCATCTGCACTGCACATGATTGCAAGACCACGGGAGATCATGGTGGGTGGAGCAGGAGGAGGAGGAACTGGTGGCACCACCTCAATTGGCTGGACCAAGCTCTTTTCGATAGCGTCAGTGAGGCGATTAATACTACCTTGCATGTTCATGATGGCAGCTGCTGGAGTTATCTTCACAGCGACTCTGGCAGCACTGCTCACCCCCGTATGTGTGCTGCCATGTGCCGACACTCGAGCCTTCTTGAAGACCTGAGTGGAGGGCACCAATGTTGTTGAAAGCAGGAGAGTTGATGACTGGCGAGTAGTGGGATGGGTAGATATGGGGGCGCCACTGGAAGGGAGAGACGATGTCTCCAGAGAGTCGAGTAGAGTGTTGGTGCGCAGGTGTTTACTGGACTGGGAGCTGGTAGTAGTGGAGGCTCTGATGCTGAGTGGCATCATCAGGTTAGCGCTCATGTCTGGCACACTGGAGTCCACATCCATGTTGAGAAGGTTGAGGCCCCCATCAGCGTCATCAAGCACATCATCAATACTGATGGAGGCGGGGGCTGTAGTAGTGGGGTGGAATGTGTGCCTTCCACGAGCACCGCTGTTCTCGCCTAGGATGGCCTGCATGTCATCATATGGGGGCCACCCTTTGTTGCGCAAGGGGCGCAGTGCAATTCATGACTTAGTTCAATGTTAGTCAATGTTGCACAATATATTTAATAATGACATACCTTTGCCGCAACATATGTATTCCAAATGCTCACAGCAGCAGTGCCCTCAATTCCAGCTCCCTGCACATTGTCCCAATGAGAGCCAGACACGTTGCGATAAACCTTGATTTGATTGAATGTTTTTTTGAGCTAAACCGATCTTGTCAATTCATGGTCGATCAATATAAGATAACATACCGAGGTCCACTTCGTCTTGACCATCTTGCCTGTCTTTGGTGGGCCTATTGTCTGAATCGCACTATTGGCATTGATAGCAGCTGCTGCACTGTTATAGGTAGGCATTGAGAAATTTCCACCATCACCACCTGATGAGGTGGTGAAGCAGGACGTCCACCTCCGCATCTTGCCAATGTGCCTTTGAGCTGTCAGTCTGTTGTGTGACCCTAGTATGAAGCCTTTGTCGTCGATGACAATCAATAAGATAGGGATTCATGGTAGATGTACAGGTAGGAGATGTAAGGTTAGAAGTCCGACATCTGGGACGCTTCAAGCCGAGAAGCCTCACCTGACATTTGCCAAACCTCGGTCAACATCTCGTTGCCAAACTGGCTCTTAGGGACAGATTGGGACATATTTTTGCAAAAGTTACATTATAGCCCCTTGTAAGCCGCTTGCGATGCAATTGCAAGTCCCTTCCAATTGACTTGAAAAAATTTCAGGTGACCTTGCAACCCCTCAATTAGCCTCAAGAGGGGTTCCTTGCAAGGCACCTTTGGAAATTTCCGACAC